ACTCAGCTGTGGCCTTTATCATGGTCAATGACAACACTGTGGGTCATTCTGATGGAGAAGTGTAACGCCCACAGTTGTCTCTCACGTCTGACTCGGCTTTGTATCCTCCAAATCTAGCCCAGGTCCCAGCATATAATTGAAACTCCATCCATCCTTATAACAACTCCTCCAATAATCCATTCACCCACCCACCCATCTGTCCACCCATCCACCCACTCATCCATCCATCCACCCATCCACTCATCCACCCATTCACTCATCCATCCAGTCACCCACCCATGTGTCCATCCATCCATCCATTCATCCATGCATCTATACATCCACTTATCCACTCATCTATCCATCCGTCCATCCACACATCCATCCAGTCATCCCTGCATCCATCCACCCATCCACTCCTCCCACCCACCCGCCCATCCGTCCATCCATCCATCCATCCTCCATGCATCTATCCATCCACCTATCCATACACTCATCCATCAGCCCACCTAACTATCTGTACATTCATTCATCTATCCATCCATCCATCCATGCATCCATTATCCATCCACTCACTCATCTGTCCGTCCATCTACTCACCCATCCACCCATCCATTCATCCACCCACCTATCCATACACTCATCCATCCATCCACCTATCTGTCCATCCATCCATCCATCCATTCATCCATCCTTCCATGCATCCATCATCCATCCACTCACTCATCTGTCTGTCCATCCACTCACCCATCCACCCATCCATTCACCCATCCACCCATCCATTCATCCATCTACCTATCCATACACTCATCCATCTGCCCACCTAACTATCTGTGCATTCATCCATCCGCCCACCTAACTATCTGTGCATTCATCCATCCATCCATGCATCCATCATCCATCCACTCACTCATCTGTCGTCCATCCACTCACCCATCTACCCATCCATTCATCCATCCACCCATCCATATATCTATATGCCCATCTGTCCATCCATCCATGCAACATTGACTGAAAAATCTGCTAAACCAGACACTGCTCCAGGCTCCAAAGATTCAGTGGTGAACACAACAGAGTCTCTGCCCTTATGGGACTTATATTCCAGCTTCAAAAGCAGACAGTAAACAAGCTATATCTGAGGAGATGTCATTTGAGCAAAGCCTAAATGATCTAAAGAAACAAGTAAAAACATGAGGGAAAGGCTGTCCAGACAAAGGCACCAGTGACGGGTGGGAGTGCGCTGTGTCTGGGATGTGTTTGGATTATAATCCTGAAAGACACACTCCTGAGTCTTGAAATCCTGAAAGATCAAAACCCCTAAAGTGTAAAATCTCTAATATTTAAAATTCCAAAAATCACAATCACAGGAATCACAGAAATTTTTAAAAAGCAGCGCCACCTAGAAAATGAATTTGAATGTATTCTCCAAGGAATGCCATGTCCTAAAAGAAAAAAAAAAGAAAAAAAAAGCAGCTATTCATTGTGATGCAAGACTTCAGACTACAGTTAATGGGGTCATGGAAGCTTGCCAGCTCTTACAGAATAGCTCTGCATAGTTGCCCATAATCTACTCCTGCAATATGACTTATGTAGAAAATTCAACATATGGCCTTTTCAAATTGAATTTTCTGTATAGTTTTTTGGGTTTTTTTTTGCTTTTTTCATCATCATAAATTGTCAGCATTTTTTTTTACAGTTCACGGTGCTGATTTTATCCTTGCATCATTTCAATAGTGAAGATGTAAATTGTTTTAGTGACTCATACAGTGTTCTGTTTTAGGCATTTTTTGCAAAACTGACTCCACAAAAGTGCATTACCACAATGTTGACTGTGTGTGTACATAAAAATGGGAAATTTCCTCAATAAATGAAGAGATGTCCTTTTTGTACATCTGCATTTGTGAAAAATTTCTCTAGACCTCGTTTTTTTGGCAACTGCATATGTGGGGGTGATCTGTTGCGATTCTTGATTGAGCCCGTCAGAAGACGTAGGTTGTTCATCCTGCCTTTTCAGAAGACTGCAGTTATGAAGCTGGGCGCACGCAATTCCCACCTAAGTGATATGTGTTCACGCAGTTCACGTATTTCCTCTGTCAACATATTTCTTTTTTTTTTTTTTTTGAGACGGAATCTTGCTCTGTCACCCGGACTGGAGTGCAATGGCGCCATCTCGACTCACTGCAGCCTCCGCCTCCCGGATTCACACCATTCTCCTGCCTCAGTCTCCTGAGTAGCTGGGATTACAGGTGCCTGCCACTACAACCGGCTAATTTTTTTGTATTTTTGGTAGAGATGGGGTTTCACCGTGTTCGCCAGGATGGTCTCGATCTCCTGACCTCATGATTCGCCCGCCTCGGCCTCTGGAAGTGCTGGGATTACGGGCGTGAGCCACTGCACCCGGCCTCAACATATTTCTTTACAAATACAGTTCATCTGCGCATAACTGTCGTTGGTATGGCTCTTTACACGTGCAGAAACATGGATGTTATTATTGTCTATTTTATTGTGTAAAGTGGCCTATGATGTGTTCTGTCATGTTTTTATGTTTCTCAAATAAATCCCCTTTAAAAATGTAAATAAATGGCCGGGCGTGGTGGCTCATGCCTGTAATCCCAGCACTGTGGGAGGCTGAGGCAGGCAGATCACCTGAGTTCAGGAGTTTGAGACCAGCCTAACCAACATGGAGAAACCCTCTCTACTAAAAATACAAAATTAGCCGGGTGTGGTGGTGCACACCTGTAATCCCAGCTACTCAGAGGGCTGAGGCAGGAGAATTGTTTGAATCCAGGAGGCAGAAGTTGCAGTGAGCTGAGATGGTGCCGTTGTACTCCAGCCTGGGCAACAAGAGCAAAACTCCATCTCAAAAAGAAAAGAAAAGAAAAGTACATAAATATCCTTTAAAGAATTTTAAAATTTTTTCCAGAATTATATTTTCAGAATTTTGATTTTTTGGGATTTCAGCATTCGGGATTGTCTCTCTGGGCTGTGATCAGCTCATGTCTGGGATGAGGCAGGAGCCTTGTTGGGGTGCAGGGAGATCAGATGAGGGGTAGGAGCAGGACCAGCACGGCAGGCGGTGGTCAGAGCACTCAGGCCTTGGTGGTGAGTGAAGCCTGTTGGAGGATACTGAGCAGCGGCAGCAACAAGACCGGATTGTTCTAGAAGATTGTCTGGGCTGCTGTGTGGAGGACATGTTTGAGGCTGGACTTAGGGAGGGTGGGGAGTCAGTGGGCTCGATGTGCACGGGAGTGCCTGAGGGAAATGGAGGCTCACACTAAGACATTTGGCCTGAGCAGCTGAGAGGGGCTGCAGAAGGTTGAAGGGGGCACCACAGGGCCTTGGGAACTTGACCATGAGGTGGGTGTAAAGGCTAATGGTCAACAGATCCCAGCGATTGTGACTGACAAGGAATAGCTGGGCTGTCAGGCCATCTGGACCAAATGAGGTCTGGAGAGGGTGGGTGGAAAGACTGAGAGGGGTCTGGGGCCATGAGGTCAGGCAAGGCCTGGACGGGGTGAAAAAAACCAGGAGCTCAGAGACCAGCAACCAAAGAGAAAAAGTCTGGAGAAGATGCCAGAGAACTGTCCTTTGCATGTGGTGGAAGGGAGGCCTCGGGGGGCACAGGGCACAGGCTGCCTGGGGCAGTGCGCGCAGGCTCTCTCAGGGGGTGGGGGTGGGAGTTTGCACTGAGGGAAGGTGTGGGTGAAACTGTCTCCCAGAGAGCAGGAAAACAATTTTATTAGTAAGTGTTTGCTGCGGGAAGGAATGAACCACTCATTATCTGCAGAAGAGGCTGGGAGACTGGGCCAGAGCCCAACTAACCCAGCACATGTGTCCCTGGGCGCCTTGACCTACCTGTGGGCCCCAAGGGAAGGAACCTGGGGTCAGACAGAACCCCCTGCCCACAGCCAGCACTCAGAAACTGCTGAACTCCTTCCCACCAGGTAGCGCGGCATTCTCAGAGGAACAGAGGCTGCCTCCTCAGACATCATGAGGTGAGCTGAGTGCAGCTGAGCTGCCAACTCTAGGTCACTCTGTGGTAACGCATCACTCAAGAACGTTCAGCAGCTCACCCAGGAATCCCAAAATCTGAGAATCTGAAAACAGTTCTACATAGTACTGCATGGCTGGCACCTCAGATATTTAGGGCTTACTTCAAAAGTATGTCACTTTTCCCCCCAGCGTTTTTTTTTTTGAGACGGAGTCTCGCTCTGTCGCCCAGGCTGGAGTACAGTGGTGTGATCTCAGCTCACTGCAAGCTCCGCCTCTCAGGTTCAAGTGATTCTCCTGCCTCAGCCTCCCAAGCAGCTGGAACTACAGGCGTGAGCCACTGTGCCCGGCTAATTTTTCGTATTTTTAGTAGAGATAGGGTTTCACCGTATTAGCCAGGATGGTCTCACTCTTCTGACCTCGTGATCCGCCTGCCTCGGCCTCCCAAAGTGCTGGGATTACAGGCATGAGCCACCGCGCCCGGCCCCCGCTTGCATTCTCAAATCTGACTTCCTGGCCCTGCTCCTTTGTGGAGGTCATTTTTCACATTTTTCTTTTCTTTTTGTTTTTTTGTTTTTTTTTTTGAGACAGAGTCTCCCTTTGTAGCCCAGGCTGGAGTGCAGTGGCGTGATCTCGGCTCACTGCAAGCTCCACCTTCCGGGTTCACGCCATTCTCCTGCCTCAGCCTCCCGAGTAGCTGGGACTACAGGCGCCGCTACCACGTCCGGCTAATTTTTTTTTTTTTAGTACAGATGGGGTTTCACTGTGTTAGCCAGGATGGTCTCGATCTCCTGACCTCGTGATCCACCTGCCTCGGCCTCCCAAACATTTTTCACAAAGAAATGAAAGCCCTTTCCAGAGGGGTCACAGCTCCCCACACTGCGACTGCTTTACTTGAAGTCACATCAGGGAGTGCCAGGCTGGGGCTGCTGGTCTGAGGCTGGTCCTCTCCCAGTTCCAAGCAGGCGTCCTTTCTGCCAAGCCCTGTGACAGGAGGGGACGGCTGCAGCTCCCCCTTCAGCTATAAAAAGCCCCAAAACCCAAGCAAGTCGAGGATATGCCAAGAGGACACGCCAGGGAAACCCAGCTGGGACTCAGGAAGAACCTTGACCCCAGAACCATTCTGAGGCTGCCCGCTGCCCTCAGGCTGCTCCAAGCCCCGCTGAGGCGTTGGACAGTTCCGAAGGCCCACATCTCTCCAAGCCCGCCAAAACACCCACCTCCCGCGGTAAGTGACCTCCAAGGTAGCAGCAAGCAGTCTTGAGAACTCAGCCCATTCCCTGGGTTTTGGGGTGACATAGAAGTCCAGGATGGAAAAAGGGAGAGGTGGCCATGGCCCTGGGCCTCAGCCATGACTACAACAGTGTCTGAACGCCAGGAAAGGGGTCTCTGCAGCCATCGCCTGCAGACCAGGCTTCCAAATGGGCAGCAGAGTCAACAGCAGGGACGGGCTCCCAGTTCTGAGGCTCTGCTCACCTGGCCAGAGATGGCTGCTAGGCTGAGCTCCGAGGCTTGGTGGATCCATTAACTTCATCCCCTTAAACAGGAAGAGGAGGGCTGCTTTGAGGGTCAGATGAGAGCACAGGTGAAAACTAAAACCTAAGTTAACCATTTCCACTCTTGGAGTATGAATGTCTGTTTTCAGCAGAAATAAACCAAGGTCAAGAAAGTCATTTGCCCAAGGTCATACAGCTAAGACCTGAACCTAGACTAAGGTCCTCATTCTAGGCCAGATTTGCTCTTAAACCTCTGGGGCTAAAGTCAAAAGAAAGAACTGGTCTCCAGCCTGGCATCTGATTCAGCTTCAGGAAATGGGGGAGGACTGGGCCCAGGCTGATTCGGGAGGAAACTGAGGGTGAAATTTGGCTGGTGCCTCAGAACCTGGCCACTGGAGAACACAGGGCTCCAGATAGGGTCTCCTTTTGCACACACAGAGCACGGGGAATCTGACCTCTTCTCAGCCCTATGAACAGGAATGCCATTGAGAGAAAGGGCCCTGTGCTTGTTTGCCTGCGATTTAAAATGTTGGTTGTTTCTGCTGTTCTGTACACACTCTGACATGCACAGCCACAGGTAACCAGGAGCGTGCACATCATGTCTGAGACTGGTCTGCCCAGCGAGGGCCAGAGGCTGCCAGATGTGTTGACGACAGTGGTTACTCACTGCTCACACTACACAGAGGTTTGAAGGCAGATGGCGATAACATGGCTAGGGGAGGGGGGCCGGGGCAGTCTGTCTCCCAAATCCCAAACTGTGGGACCTGAGGGACAGAGGGCAGGCAGGCAACCTCCCTTATTGGCCCAGGCCTGACTCCCCTACCAGCTTAGTGGGCTCGTGGGTACTTTCCTCCATCAGGAGCAGGCCATGGGGCTCTCACTCATATTCATCAGCTTCCTGGTTCCTGGAGGCTGGATCTCACCCGCCTGGAGGGCTACAAGAGCTCCATGCTGTCACTGCAGGCACAGGACTGAAAGATCGCATTAAACCGTCTTTCCACCTAACGTTCACTTTGTGATTCTCTGTGTACGTGCACCTCCACTCCCAGACGAGGAACCTCAAGGTGGTTTCCCTTACACGCCCAGTCCCAGAGATGGCTCATGTCAGCATTGGGGCACACTGGGTCACAGACGCCGGTGGCTATTTGAATGATGAGTGGTGACAAGGATGCAGATGGATGCCTGGGTCGGGGCAGGTACCCGACAGGGCTGGAGAAGCGAGTGGATACCCCTGGGTCTCTCTTGACTAACAATAAAGATAGGACCAGCTTCCTCGGTAGCCCTTGGTGCTGGGTTCTGCCCCAGTCTACTGTACGTGCAGGGAGGAGAAGGGCCAAGGCTACCCCCACCACGTCTTCCCAAGGTTCCAACTCATGCTTTTTAACCTCCAGGCAGAGGCTTGGCCTGGAAGCTAAGCCCAAGAAAACAGAGCCACGAGAAGAACAAAGCAGAGCTGTTTATTATAGGAACATTCTCAAACCACAATGGAAAAGATGTCCGTACAGGTGGATGGGGATGGAGATCAACCTTGGAGTACACGGACTTTAGGGGACTTCCTGCCTCACGCGTTTTCTCTCTCCCTTATCACCTAAGACCCAGAGACCCCCACCCACTGCAGGAGAGACCCACAAAGAAGTCTTCTCCCTGTGGCCTGGCCCCCAACAGGGACAGTCCTGTTTTCAGAGCAAGAACAGTCTGTACTTCAGACAGGATCCCAACCCCTACCCAAATTCAATGAGCAGCCAGCTTCATCGGCTGCAAACGCCTCTCTCAGGTGGTCAAAGGAGACACGACAGGGGACCAGGGGGCCCTAGGTGAGGATGTCATGGGCCTGGTGCTCCACCAGCATCTCCATGCTCTTCACATCCGTGCACCAGAACTCCAGGCGGTCCTTCATTCCCTTGATCTGAAATGCAGATCCGGACACAAGGGGCATTAAGACACACAGGAGTCACAGGCCAAGTGGCCGCCACAGCACCTGACGGGGCGGCTCTGCATCTCCAGCTGACTCTCTAGGGCAGCTCTAATAAAAAGGACCTCTGAGCTGGGGGAGTGTGACAGGACTTCCCGGGTTAATTCTTATCACAAGGACATTAGAAAAAACTTGCATGAAAGAAAGCAGACAAGAATAGAGGAAATCCACAGGATTACATTTCCAGCAAATGTAAGATGGATGTGAGCTCAAATCACAGAACCAGGAACGTATTTGATCGGAGTACCTATCTTAAGATTAAAAAGCACCATCAGCACAACTAGCACTATTGTAATAATAAGCTTTTAAATGCAGGGTTCAAATCTCAGGCTTGCATTAAATTAAGCTCTTAGAAAAACCCAACAGCAGTAATTCATTCTCCAAAACCTCGTCTGATAATGCTTTCTTCCCAAATGGCTCCCATCCAAATGAAACTAAGACAGTATAGATACAACCCCCCAAAACCCACAGAGGTGAATAATGGTTTTCAAACACAACACCTGCTGCAAATCCAGCACTCGGGGCTGCACCCAGGTCATGTGGACGCGTCTGTCCACCTCGTCTATGCTGCCTTTCACCAGCCCCACCGAAAGGGCCTTCATCACCAGGAGCTCCACCTGCGCAGAGACGGAGGCTTGTGTAAGACAGAATAGCCTGACACACCCCCAGGGACCCAGATGGCTTCTCCCGTCGTTTTTTACTGTCCAGGGAGCACAGCGCTCACACAAGAGCCTTGACTCCTCCATGTGGCAGCTCTGCTGCTCTAACACCCTGAGCCTAGGGACCATACCTCATTCACTGTGATTTTAGCACTTTTGGCAATTTCTTCAAAAGTAAGTTGTCTGTGATTGGCAGGTCGTGTGAAAGTCATCTGGAAAAAATTTTATTAACTATTTAAAACTATTTTTCCAAATAAAAATAGAGAAGTGATAAGAATGTTTTGTCAGTATTGGCTCTTAAAATAGATGTCTTATTAGTACCCCATACACTAAAAAGTTCCCTAATATTAGACTTACATCTTGTTAAGAACAAGCTTTCAATGCTTAGATAAGAAGGATAACAGCAAAATGCCTTATAGGAATTTTTGACAGTAGCCATTATTCAATCCCTGAACCACAATTTGGCCTCAAACCACAGGGTTGACCACGGCAAACCAGAAATGTAAGGGCCACTTCCTCAAGAAGCTTAGGTTCTAGTGGGGAAAACCAGATGTGTGTGTCAACAGGAAGCAACATGCAACGAGGAGGCAACCGCATCATGGTGAGAGGGGCAGCTACTTCATCTCAGTTCAGATGGTCAGGGAAGGCCTCAGCGGGGTGGGAGGGTGTCGTCTGAGCTAAGACCCAAATATAAACTTAAAAAAGCAAGTGGTGGCAAAGGAAAAGGAAGGTGGTGAAGAGAGTGACGCACAGCAGAAGCAGCAGCACTCAAACTGCTCAGGACAGGCTTGGAGAGTGCAGCGCCCCCACCTGACCAAAATCTGAAACCACAGACAAAGTGGCTCCCGGGTGTCTGCTTACCTCCATGAGGCACAACAACTGAATTTTCCTCAGAAGCTGGGCTTCGTTAGCTGCTAAATCAGGCTGTAAAGTACAGAAAGACAGAACAATGTCTTCCATGTTTGTGCTTATCAGTTACCTAACTGGGGCTCTGGAATTCGCTCTCTAACGGTAGACTGAACAAAAAGCAGCTAAGCAGATCCAAACATCTCACACTGCGGACTGCTGAAGCTCATCCACATCTTCTTCATTCTTCTTAGGAAATCTAACTGGGACACTTTGTCAAGGCAAGGAATTTACAAGGTAAGATCTGTATTAATGCTACAAACACCATCAGGCAAGGCCACAGGGTACCGCCATTTCGAGAAGACTCTCCTGGTCAAGGTGCTGTCGGGAAGGACACACCCAACAGCCCAGGAGGCTTCCCTCAGGGGCTGCTGCCTGCTCAGTGCCAGGGGAGTCCCTCAGAGGCTGCTGCCTGCTCAGTGCCAGGGCAGTCCCTCTGAGGAAAAGTTTCCTTAATTTCTACAGACTTGTTCTGAATCAAAAGAGCAAGTTATTAATTTATAATGAAAAATATCATTGTCATGAGAACTAGAATACAATCTTCTGCAAGACGTGCATCATCTCTTCTTACAGATCAAAACGTTACTTAAACCAAGGAGACTTGTTTTTTTTTTTGAGACGGAGTCTTGCTCTGAAGCCCGGGCTGGAGTGCAGTGGCCGGATCTCAGCTCACTGCAAGCTCCGCCTCCCGGGTTTAGGCCATTCTCCTGCCTCAGCCTCCGAAGTAGCTGGGACTACAGGCACCCGCCACCTCGCCCGGCTAGTTTTTTGTATTTTTAGTAGAGACGGGGTTTCACGGTGTTAGCCACGATGGTCTCGATCTCCTGACCTCGTGATCCGCCCGTCTCGGCCTCCCAAAGTGCTGGGATTACAGGCTTGAGCCACTGCGCCCGGCCGAGACTTGTTTTTTTAATTCAAATAGCAACTCATATCCTGACACAGGCAGCCTCGCTGAGGACACTTCTTCCTCAAGCACTGGACAGGTCAAGCTCTGTAGAAAGGGCACTCTCTGTCCAGACAGGCTTTGCTGCCTGAACAGATGCTGCCAACATATATACAAATTTTTTCCCTTTAAATTGCTGTAACTAGCCATCTTCCTTTCTGAGTGGCACATTTTTTTGAGACATCAATGAATAACCAGACCACAGTTAGGTCTAGCTGCATCTGTGCTTTCTGCCTCTTCACAGTAACCTCATCTATATCCACCCTGCTCCACTATGCAGGAATTTTACAAGTTTATGTTAAACTGAGAAAACTGAAAGTTTCAGAAAAATACAAAAATAACCATAATTCCTACCACAGTTAACATTTTATTAATATTTACTTCTAATAATCTCATTAAAAAAGAACATACTTCACCATTAAAGCTCAAGTCCTTGTTAAGCACCTTTTCCCAACTCCCACCTTCCAGAGGCACCTTCACCCAGTGCCCCCCTCCCCTTGGCTGAGGTGAACTGGCTGTTCTCCCTGCACAGACCTCTCCTCCTGCGCCCACTGCTCTCCCCATCCCTGCACCCACCGCTCTCCCCATCCCTGTACCCACTGCTCTCCCCTGCACCCACCTTTTCCCCTCCCTGCACCCACCTTTTCCCCTCCCTGCACCCACCGCTCTCCCCTCCCTGCACCCACCCCTTTTCCCCTCCCTGCACCTATCACTCTCCCCCTGTACCCACCGCTCTCCGTCTCTGCACCAGGCACTTGTTCCTCCTTCATTCCACGCTCTCTCCCACCCACTCATGTTGGCCTCACACATTCGTCTTTCAGTTCAGCAAAGATACTAACATTTTCCTTTTCCTCCGCTGAGTGCACTGTTCCCACACTCTTCATTCATTCCTAAGGCCACACAGACCTTAGGTCACTATGGCTTCTACGCCTTCTGTGAGACCCTCTCCACCCAGCACAGATGCAGGGCCCACATTCGATTCTGTTTTCTCAGAACACCCTCACTCTAACCAACCACTTAACTCTCAGCTTTGTGAGAGCAAGGACTAGCCTATCTCGGTCTCCTCTGTGCCCAGTTCCTTCCTGTGTGCCTAGAGAAGACGCTCAATGAACATTGGTTGTATGAGTGAGTAGACACAAAGGGGAACAAGGGCTGGGGCATCGTCGGAGCCATACCTGCTGGCCCCAGGCAGTCTTCAGAGTCTGGAACCTCTCTACGTTGCCACTGTTGAAGGCATAGAGGGTGTCAATCAGCCACTGCCGGTCAGTGTTCCGCAGGGACTCCAGCACGGGGTGCATGAGCTGTGGGGATGGAGACGGTCAGCACGGGGTGCATAAGCAGTGGGGATGGAGATGGGATGGAGACAGTCAGCAGGGGGTTCATGAGCTGTGGGGATGGAGACGGTCAGCACGGGGTGCATGAGCTGTGGGGATGGAGACGGTCAGCACGGGGTGCATGAGCTGGGGGATGGAGACGTCAGCAGGGGGGTGAGGGGGGATGGAGACGGTCAGCAGGGGTGCATGAGCTGTGGGGATGGAGACGGTCAGCACGGTGCATGAGCTGTGGGGATGGAGACGGTCAGCACGGGGTGCATGAGCTGTGGGGATGGAGACGGTCAGCACGGGGTGCATGAGCTGTGGGGATGGAGACGGTCAGCACGGGGTGCATGAGCTGTGGGGATGGAGACGGTCAGCACGGGGTGCATGAGCTGTGGGGATGGAAACGGTCAGCTGGCAACACTTCAGTCTCCCTTTCGTTAAGGAAGCTGAGCCCAGGGTCAACTTACGAGTTCTCCAAAGTTAAACACTCCCTCGCCGAGAAGCCCTGCTAGCCCCAGCGTGAAGGCTCTCTCCTGCTGCTCAGACACTACGGTAGCAACACAGGCCCATTTACAATCCAGTCACAATAATCAGTCCTGTTTAGCTTTAAAAATCTCATATAACAGGCCGGGCGCGGTGGCTCAAGCCTGTAATCCCAGCACTTTGGGAGGCCGAGACGGGCGGATCACGAGGTCAGGAGATCGAGACCATCCTGGCTAACACGGTGAAACCCCTTCTCTACTAAAAAAATAAAAAAAAATACGATCCGTATATACTAACAGAAAATGTAAAGGAGGAGGAAAACCATTGGAAAAATCTTTGAAAATGGTTGTATTACAAAGCCCTGACATTAGTCACCTCTTCTGAAGTACTGGGTTGATTTAATAATTTGTCCCCATGGGTCTGGAATTGCAGTTTTCAAAACAAGGGTCTCAGCTACACGGATTCCAAGGGTCTCAGCTACAGGGATTCCAAGGGTCTCAGCTACAGGGATTCCAGGGGTCTCAGCTACACGGATTCCAAGGGTCTCAGCTCCACGGATTCCAAGGGTCTCAGCTACAGGGATTCCAAGGGTCTCAGCTACAGGGATTCCAAGGGTCTCAGCTACAGGGATTCCAAGGGTCTCAGCTACAGGGATTCCAAGGGTCTCAGCTACAGGGATTCCAAGGGTCTCAGCTACAGGGTCCAGGGACTCCCAAGGGGTCTCAGCTACAGGATATTCCTAAGGGTCCAAGGGTCTCAGCTACAGGGATTCCAGGGGTCTCAGCTACAGGGATTCCAAGGGTCTCAGCTACAGGGACTCCAAGGGTCTCAGCTACAGGGACTCCAAGCATCCTTTATTCTGCAGCAGAAGGGCGGGCGGGGTGGGTTCAGCAGGTATTTACGTCATGGGACTTCCTACAAAAACCTGTGACTTAGGTAACAATAAGGAACTGGAGACGGAACAGTAAAGGAGCTAGGAGGAAAGCCTCATTTTCATGTAAATTAAATGCTGGAGACAAATACAATGTAGAAACTAAAGTTTATACAAATCTTCCCATTTTTTCTTCAAAACAGGATGAATCCATCTGAGTAATTTCTTTTTTTTTTTTTGGTGAGATGGGGTCTCACTCAGTCACCCAGGCTGGGGTGCAGTGGTGCAATCTTGGCTCACTGCAACCTCCACCTCCCGAATTCAAGAGATTCTCCTGTCTCAGCCTCCCAAGTAACCAGGATTACAGGCACCCACCATAACACCTGGCTAGTATTTTCAGTAGAGACAGGGTTTCATCATGTTGGCCAGGCTGGTCTTGAACTCCTGACGTCAGATGATCCACCTGCTTCAGCCTCCCAAAACTGCTGGGATTACAGGTGCGAGCCACCACGCCCAGCCCCGCTTAGTAATTTCTGAGAACTGTCACCTCAAGCGCCTCACAGATGCTAAGTCTGGAGAATACGCTCCTGTGCGACATGCACTTTAACGGCCTAGGTTACCTGGTAGATCCTTGATGTCAACACAGCCCAAAAACCGCAGAGCATCTTTGTAGTAGGACGCGTGGTTTCCGACTGTTTGATAGTATTTACTGGAGAGATCATAGAAACGACTGTGAACCGACGTCACACCAGGAAGGTTGTTGAGCATTTCTTCAACATCTTCAATTGTTTCCTACATAAGGAAAGCAAAATCATCTCTCTTTTTAAGTTAAAAGTTTATTTCATTTTTTTAGGGACAGGGTCTCCCTCTGTTGCCTAGGGTGGTCTTGAACTCCTGGCCTCAAGCGATCCTCCCACCTCAGTCTCCGCAGTAGCTGGGATTACAGGTTCAAGCCACTGTGCTTGGCGAAGATTTTTAAAGTAATATGTTGTGAGATGAAAAGCGCAAACTACAAAGGCAAAGACTGATGAATGTGACTACGTTAACATGGAAAACTTAATCCAAAACACAGAAAAAAGTACAAAGACAAGCTATAGACTGGGAAGCAATATTTACAACATGTATAACCCACCAGCAATTATGACCAAGGAAATATAAAAACGCTTACAAATCAGTCAGGAGACAGCAACACAGTACAAAAATGGGCAAAAGACATTAACAGACAATTGACAGATCTGGAGACACAAACAGAATGGCCAATAAACCACTAGTAATTGTGAAATGCAAATTAAACCCCCAACAAGATATAATTTCACTTCTATTAGATCAGCAAGGGTTAGAGCCTGAAACTATCAGGTGTTGAAGATATGGAGCTTCCAGAGTGCTCGTACGGCGCTGAGGGAGCGTATATCTGGGAAAGGCAGAGATGCATACAGTTTGTATCTATAGTCTCCAGGCATATATCCTGGTGAGATTCTGCCCACGTACACAAGGGATCACGCACAGAAATACTTATAGCAGTATTGTTTGTGATAGTGAAAAAAACAACCTAAATCTCTCTCTTTTTTTTTTTTTCTGAGATGGAGTCTTGCTCTGTTGCCCAAGCTGGAGTGCAGTGGTACAATCTTGGCTCACTGCAACCTCAGCCTCCCAAGAGGCTGGGATTACAGGCGCCCGCCACCACGCCTGGTTAATTTTTGTGTTTTTAGTAGAGACGGGGTTTTACCATCTTGGCTGGGCTGGTCTTGAACTCCTGACCTCATGATCCACCTGCCTCAGTCTCCCAGAGTGCTGGGATTACAGGTGTGACCATCACACCCGGCCCTAAACCTCTTCAACAGGAGACAGGATATGTATGTTGTGGAACACTTACACAGCGAAATTCCGTACAGGAGTACACGCACACTGGCTACACATACCCACAGGACTCTGGAACCCAGGACTGAGCCAATGTTAAAACACTTGAGTTACACACCCCCATTTAATGAAGCACAAGGAAATGCATGGGCATGAGAGGGAGCCTGGCTGCGGGAGAAGAGTGGTCTGAAGGGTACTGGGGCCCTGACTGTGGCTTCGTTCCTTCCTGAGCTGGCTGGGGAACATGGACGCCTATTACAGCATTGTGGACTGTGACTTACAGCTTCCAGCGTGTCTTAAAATACTTCAAAATAAAATGCACTAAGTATGCACATGGGTGAAGACTGAGAAACAATAAACAATAAAAAGTATCTTTTCAGGGCAATGAGGACAGGAACACTTTTAACCTAACCCCAATATTTTCTTTAACATTATGGTTAGCAAACAAACACAAACACACACAGGCTCTGGTTAAACAAGGTGGACCCACCACGTCGGTTTCACTGCCACTCACATCCATACCTGTCTCCCAAACTGCACGAAAACATAATTGAACATAAGAAAGACATAAAAATACATAGGATACTTCAGCAACATTTAGGAGGCAGAAGGAAGGTGGAGGAACAGCACATGACGTGCCAGTGGTGTGTAGGCTGACCTTGGTCAGGGAGAACCAATGTGCTTTGGGCTGAGGCCGTTGGAGTCATTATTAGACGGATGTGCTGTGGTCACACGGGACTGCTCTTTTGTTTAAGGGCAGCAGGCATTGTATCAGCAACTTACTCTTAAGTGGTTTTGGAAAAAAGCTACAGACACACACAAAGGCAAAAGTAGTAAAAGGTTAGCAATCGGGGGCTGGGCGCAGTGGCTCACGGCTGTAATCCCAGCACCTTGGGAGGCTGAGAACAGAGGGATCACTTGAGGTCAGGAGTTCGAGACCAGCCTGGTCAACATGGTGAAACCCTGTCTCTACTAAAAATACAAGAAAATTAGCCGGATGTGATGGCAGTCGCCTGGAATCCCAGCTACTCAGGAGGCTGAGGCAGGAGAATCGCTTGAACCCAGGAGGCGGAGGTTGCAATGAGCTGAGATCGTACCACTGCACTCCAGCCTGGGTAACAGAGCGAGACTCCATCTCAAAAAAAAAAAAAAAAAAAAAAAAAAAAGGTTTGCAATGGGGAATTTGGGTTGAGGTATAGGAGTTCTTTGTGTTATTTTTGCAACTTTTCTCTAATTTAAAAATGTTTTAAAATAAATAGTAAAGAACAAAAATAGTTTTTTCCTACAGTTTTAAATAATTTTAATCCAAAGAGAAATCTGTATATGGTGAGCTCACCTTTGTAACCTGTAGGTCCCCGATGTTTAATTTTAGAGCTCCAATTGCTGTTTTACACAGGATCACTGCCTCATCACTACTTTTCACCTAAGACATCAAAAACAAAAACAAGAAACCTCAGAACGTGGGCAGCTGACTAACAAAAGAAGCCAGCTACTTGCACATTAACGCAACCTTGATGGCTAGAGACCATGTGGTCTCTCAAGGTCTGGATGGTGAGCATGGACACAAACTGTAAGTCATCCATACCCTAAAAGGTATTGCTCACATCTCACATTTACCTTCTCACGAGTCTTTTCCAGGAAAGTAAGAGCCACATTAGGATCTGGAAAAGAAAGAACAGTCAGAAGGACCATCAACAGACTGGTTTCTACTAACCAAGACATCTTTAGGTAGGATAATCTTTAGGTTTTGACCATAAAGTAGAATAAAAATACAATATTGGATACAGAAAGCACAAAAGTTCAGTTAACTTATATTTCAAGATAATTTTAACTACCACTTGGATCTACTCCTTTATAAAACAAAGTAAGACTTACCAGTCATCTGTCTAACTACATGAAGAATGATTTCTACCAGGGACAAAGGATTCACCCTGAAATGAAAACCACCAGTCTTTGAGTACCAATGAGTATCAAAGTACTCATTTGCAAAGTAAAAAAGGGATGAAAGGGTTTTACCTGTGTTCAAATTCACTGATAAAGTTTTCATAAAGCTGTGAAACCAAAACACGGAGAGAAATTACAGGATGTCTTGTATTCTGCAAAATGAAGACCCCAGATACTATTTTTGGTACAGAAGCTGCATCAATGCTATCAAGTTGGGAGTGTGCAAACCACAATGCCCATTACACAGTAAGCAATGCACGTTTGCAGAATGACAGGAGACCATATTAGGGCTTATTTACATTCACGTATGATCAACAGATTATTAAGGAACATTAGGTTTCTTCTAGCTTTGGGAATTAGGGTACGGACCGATAAGAACCTCCAGACAAATTCCTATATTCTTTCTTCCAGGTATTGTAAGTTAAATAGACATCAGATTGAAATGCTCCCCCAGTTTTCTCCCTGTGGCTTCTGGGCTGTTGGTATTTGGATGCTTGTGAAGACGGCTTGTGCCGCTGTGTGGTCTCCAGCCGACCAGGACAGGTTTATTTGTATCTATCCTGTTTGTTGAAGTAATAAGAAGACCATTGTGGAAGGAAGGTGAAACCCCATAAGTAAGTCTGTTGAAAATCCTACAGCTAGAGGTTCAAGACCTATGTTCAGCAGTTGGACTTAATGCATTTCTTGAGAAAAAGAGAATGTACTCTAGAGAATGGAATTGTGATGTCTAATACAAAGGCAGAGTCTGGGCCCAGCTCAGACGGGAGATGGCAGCCTCTGTCTTGTACATTTCCCATCACATGAAGTCATTAACGTTGTGTGCAGCATAAACGATACCTCAACTAAAAACAAGGACACAAAAAAACAGGAAAAACAGGAGGCAGTGACCAAAGTCTTCAACAAGGAGAGGGAAGAAAAAAAGGGAAAGGAAAGAAAAAGACGTAACAAGCGGGGCACAGTGGCCCACGCCTGTAATCCCAGCACTTTGGGAGGCCAAGGCGGGCGGATTACGAGGTCAAGAGATTGAAACCATCCTGGCCAAAATGGTGAAACACCGTCTCTACTAAAAATACAAAAATTAGCTGGGTGTGGTGGCATGTGCCTTTGGGAGGCTGAGGCAGGAGAATCGCTTGAACCCGGGAGGCGGAGGTTGCTGTGAGCTGAGATCGCACCATTGCATTCCACCCTGGGCAACAAGAGCGAAACTCCATCTCAAAAAAAAAAAAAAGAAAAAGAAAAAGACATAATGTAGTATCAGCACCAAGTATGTGGTACTACTTGGTATGCAAAAGCCTCCATTAAGAGACCTGAAGTACGTAGTAGCCTCCATTAAGAGACCTGAATGGAGGCTTCTAATTTGTATCAAAGGAAAACAGAAGCGTTTCGTTTGCATTATTTACCTGAACTGTGAACCCTTGTGCCTCCCATCTTTATCAGAGTTGACAGTGAAATAACCTTATATCAGAAGTTTGCACCTCACTTTTATGGAGTATAAAATAAGTTTTTTGACTTTCAATGCATTTTTTTTGGAAGAAAATATTTTAAAACGGACAATGGCCTATACAATAAGTTACTTGAAATCTTATATCTATCTTCTGCGTAAACATATTTCAGATAAATTTCAATTAGATTTGAAATACACATTTTGTTCACCTATTAATGAAATAAAATTTGAAACAAAAAAGAAATGCTCGCTAATCAAACGGAATGGAGTTCCTTCAGATTTTAGAAGGTTAAAGCTAATTGTGCGCCATTTTGAAATTTCTTAGCCACTCAGCACACTTGAGCACTTCCTCAGACTCCATGCTAGGTAGTACAGCACAGAACGTGTAAGACAAATGATGGGTCTTCAAGGAGCTCCTGGTCTACTGAAGACAGTCTTTAAACAAATAAATGACAATACAGTGAGTTTAAGTGCAAAAAGAAAGAAAGAAAAAGCACAGAAGTGCATCAGCCAAAGGGAGAAGCTTCAAAGACGGTTACTGCAGAAGTGGCAATACTTCTGAGTTTCGGGAAAATGAGCACAGTTAGAGAGGTGGCCACGTGGTGTGGGAGAGGAAGAAGCTGAAAGAAGAACATTCCAGACAGTAACAAACATGTGCAAAAGCACTGAAGACAAAAATACATTATGTTTCAGGAGTAGTTCTGAGGGACACAGACTAGGAAGCACTGAAGATTGGTCTCTGTCCAGAGTGCAAGGCTGAACCAGAGGACCCACATGATCATTTCTATTTTAGAAACATGCCTGGAGCAGAGAGGACAGCAGGTGAAAGAGACAGAGAACAGTCAGAGGCTAGTAGTGGCCAAGACAGGAGCGTGAAGGAGCAACAGTAATGAGGATGGATGAATACTCAGAGAGATTTAGGGGTAACTTGAAGCAGACTCACTCAGATGTGGGCTGGTCACAGAGAAGGAGAGCTGACAATAACCCCTGAGCTTATGGCCTGGGTAACCGGGCCAAAAGAGTGCCTAGTGTGGGCACAGTGGGAGAGGGACCCTCCAAATGACCTTAACTTTGGATTAGGAGAGCCTGTAGTTCCTCTGGGATACGAAGGTAGAAGGATGAACACACCCCTGTAGCAATTACATGTTTGAATCAGGCACACAAGAAACAGCCAACTAAATAAAATGGCATTTGTGTCCCGAGGCTGTGGCTCACATCGGTAATGCGGCACTTTGGGAGGCCAAGGCAGGTGGATCACTTGAGGACAGGAGTTCAAGACCAGCCTGGCCAACATGGTGAAACACCATCTCTACTAAAACTACAAAAATTAGCCAGGTGTGGTGGCACATGCTTGTAATCCCAGCTACTTGGGAAGCTGAAGCATGAGAATGGCTGGAACTGGGGAGAGGGAGGTTGCAGTGAGCTGAGTTCTACCATTGCACTCCAGCCTGGGTGACAGGGCGAGACTCCGTCCCCTTGCCCCCCAAAATAAATAAAATGGTGGCCAGGTGGTGGTTCACACCTGTAATCCCAGCACTTTGGGAGGCTGAGGTGGGTGGATCACCTGAGGTTAGGCGTTTGAGACCAGTCTGGCCAACATGGTGAAACCTTGTCTCTACTAAAAATACAAAAATTAGCCAGGCGTGGTGGCGGGAGCCTGTAATCCCAGCTACTCTGGAGGCTGAGGCAGGAGAATCGCTTGAACCAGGGAGGCGGAGGATGTAGTGAGCCAAGACTGTGCCACTGCACTCCAGCCTGGGCAACAAGAACGAAACTCTGTCTCAAAAAATAATAATAAATAAAATTTGTAAAATGGCATTTTTGCTACAAGAGACTATTTCAAAGATATTTTCCTTATTAGAGGGAAATGTTTGAACTTTCCTGACATCTATTGATCTAAAAAAGTACCTTAAAAAAGAAGCCCACTAAGTCCAGAAAGTCAAAATTACTTCTGGTGACTACAAATTCACAAATACTAGAAATTCACAAATACTAGAAATTCACAAATACTATCCATTTACACTTATGCCGACTGGATCCCAACAATTTTTAAAGGTTTATTCTGTCCATGGGAAAAGTAAACTCAGATCTGCCAACTTAAATAAACATCACCTTACCGTGAGGTTGCGGCCATATTTTGCCACGTGTAGAAAAGTGATTTAAAGATAAGAAGCCAAAGGATAGAGATAAACAATTAGGAATCATCTATCCTGATGATTTAGAACCTCAGGGAACAAGTATTAAGACAGGTCTCAGGCCAGGCACGGTGGCTCCTGCCTACAATCCCAGCAGTTTGGGAGGCCGAGGCAGGCAGATCACCTGAGGTCGGGAGTTTGAGACCAGCCTGGCCAACACTGGTGAAACCCCATCTCTACTAAGAAATACAAAAATTAGCCAGCTGTGGTGGTGGGCACCTGTAATCCCAGCTACTTGGGAGGCTGAGGCAGAAGAATCGCTTGAACTCGGGAGGTGGAAGTTGCAGTGATCCAAGATCGCACCATTGCACTCCAGCCCGGGCAACAGGAGCGAAACTCCGTCTCAAAAAGAAAAAAAAAAAAAAGGCAGGTCTCATTTATCATTTTCCCACATAATCCAGAAGACTGAATGTTCAGCAAAATCTCCAGGCTTACAGATGATTTTAAGTTCCTCTAAATAGTAAAATGTCAAATTGATGGCTATAAACCACAAGAAAATCTTACAAGCCCAAGTGGTGGGGTAGTAAGGTGGTAAGCTCTGTTGTCAGCATATAAAAGAAATGTATTCCAGAGAAATGACTCAAGCTGTAATTATAAGCTATCAGTTACAATGCTGGTGTGAATCTCTGATTCATTCAGAATGAGAGTAAGATGTCAGGAAAAACTTCAAAGAGGAGGCTATCAGTGAGCAAATTTGTGGGGATGTGTCAGGGGATCTGGGGAAGGCTAGGAAAGAAACTGCGTTTTTTTAAACTGTTGAAAAAATTCTAGAAGTCCTCTATTACAGAGGCAGCATGACACTATTCAGAACTCTCCCTCCAACCCACCTACCCTCAACCGAAGTACAAAAGGTGCTTTATCTTCCACACTACCCAGGACAGAAGTGTCTGGGCAAGCAGTCAGTGTGGCTTAAAGAAGGGGAGTGATGGAAGTTATCTAAGATTCCCACAGATAGTAATCTTCCTCATACCTTATTCCACCCTCTAACTGGGTTTGAACTTTGTATCTAATAACAGTTTTCTAAAAATAGAGTACTAAAAAGAAGCCTATGAACTAAGATACTCAGGCATGTTTTAAGATAGTACTTTATGCCAGAATTTTAGAAAAAACCAGAATGTTAGTGTTTGAATCCTCTTCTGCCACTTATTAGCAGTGACCTATAGTAAGTTACTTAAAGTCTTAAGTTTGCTTCTACATCAAAAAAGTGAGATGAAAGTAGTATCTACTGAGCAGCGTCGTTAGGAAGGACGTGTAAAGCACTCAGACCAGTACCTGACATAAAGGGACTTCTGAAGAATTGTAGCTTATTATTATTATTATTAGCAAAAAACCCATCTTATTTTAAAAAGTCCTTGAGCACATTCATATAATCTGACCTGGTATCGCAAATTATTTACCTTAATGAGACCATCTCCTTGGGCAAAGCACGGATCCTGCACAAAATCAAGCACCTGAAGTGTCAGCTGATGCCACAACCTGAAAAACATACAGCCCTTAAGACCTCTAACCTAATATCCAGTCACAGACACCTTCAGCCTTGATGATCCTATCAAGTCACAAATGTAGGTTGGGTATCTCTAATCCAAAACTCCAAAATTCAAAATGCTCCAAAATCCAAAACTTTCTGAGCACCAACGTAAGGCTCAAAGGAAACGACCATTGGAGCATCTCAGATTTCAGATTTTTGATTCATGGATACTGAATGGGTAAGCACATATCGAAAATATTTCAAAATCCGAAAAAATACTAAATCCAAAAAACTTTTGCCCCAATGCATATCTTTCTTCTTCTTTCTTTCCTTTTTTTTTTTTTTTTTTTTTTTGAGACAGAGTCTCACTCTGTTGCCCAGGCTGTAGTGCGGTGGCACCATCTTGGCTCACTGCAACCTCTGCCTCCCAGGTTCAAGTGATTCTCCTGCCTCAGCCTCCCGAGTAGCTGAGATTACAGGCATGAGCCACCGTGCCCCGCCGCCCCAATGCATTTCTGGTAAGAGATGCTAAATCCATACTAACCAGTCTCTACTGTGTAGTAGAAAGAATGCTAAAGCAGATGCGATAAACCTGAGTTCTTTTCCTGGCTCTGCTGTTGAATGGCTATGTCACTTTAAGATCACTTAACTTCTCTCTAAGACTCAGTTTTCCCAGGTATGAAATGGAGAACATTATTCTAGATTACCTCAAAGGGTTACTGTGAGGTTTGATTGGAAACGAGAACTTTGGAATCATACATATCTACCTTGAGATTCTGGCTCTTCTACCTATTAGCTAGTATCTCAGGGAAGACAATTAAAACGAGCTTCAGTTTCCTCCTCTGTGAAAAGGATGAATAAAGGATTAAATAGCGCTTCATCCAAAACCTAAAGGCTAATATTTAATAACGCATATGAAATGCTTTGAAAATTACCAAGTGCTATCCAACACAAACCATTATTTGCCAAACATTAATTTGCTCTCAAAAACTGCTAATAGCAGAAGGCTGCTGAATGCTAAACATCATCAAAACATGTATGGAACATCTATGTGAAAGGTATTATATTAAATGCTAGGGTTAACAGGGAGGTTACTACAGGAGATGTATTTTCTATGGAATAGCTCCAGCCCAATGCCAGCAATTTATCCTATCATTTTAAAAGGAGATTAGTGCTTAGCAACAATTTAATGGCTCTGCAATTCATCCTGTTTCTAAACAAACTTAAACTTTAAGATCTTTCTAGGGGCACACAGCCCAGCGAGAAATACAATGGAAGGTAAAGACAATGGGACGGGGTGCAACCAGTTGCAGAATGAATAGGGAAGAGAGCAAAGCTGCACTAGCCTCTGGTTTATCAACTCCAGACCATGAGAAAGATAACTGTGGATACAGTTACACCATGCCAAGGCTAAGCGCGAATCACCAAGATCTGTTTCTCAAAGTGGGTGGCAATCTGGTTCTGAAAGTGTGTTTGCTTGTTTCGCTGGAATACAGAGCTAAAAGCAAAGGCTTCCCCTGAACCGTCTTAGTAAGACCCGAGGTAGACGAGTTCAGAAGCCTCAGTCACAGTCCCTCGTTAGGGAAGCACTGAATCTCAGACCCAAACATCCTGGCTACAGCTCTTGGCCCTCGTGGTCTGTCATCCTTCTTATTCCTCGACCCTGCCACTCGGGGTTCCTCAGCAAACCCTGCCGGCACAGCCAGTCGCTACACGTCCCCGTTTCCCCGCAACTTGGGTCTGGGCGCCCTCAGCCCATCAAGGGCCCGCCTCTCCGCCCGCCCGCCCCCTCCGTCTCCCTCTATCGCCGGGGCCCAGGGCCCGTCTGTCTGCTCGGAGCTTACTTCTTCGTGTAGAGTTCCTCCAGACGGTGCCACACAGCGGGCTGTCCGGGCCCGGAGCTCTGGCTCTGCTGTAGGAAGCCCGGTACGTCCTTCATGACAGCAGGAAGACCCCCGGCACAGAAGAACAACCGCGATGTCAGCCCCGCGGGGATGTCTGCCGGAAATGCTCACTCACTTCCGGCGCCGCGCGGCGCGGGGCAGGCTGGGAGCGCCGTAGCCGGCCGGGGGGCGGGGCCCGCTGGTTGCCCGGTAACCGCGCATGTCTGCGCTCGGAACAAAACTCTCCGGCGTTTGCAGCCCGCTTCCCGCGCACCTGGTTGTGCCACTGAGGCTTAAAAAGTATGGGTGCCTGTGGTCGAACCGGCCATGGACTAGCTTTGTGGTGTCAGCCTTTGTGACCCGGAATTGCTCCTCTCAAATGACCTTCCCAGTAGGGTCTTGCGAGGACTAGGTGTAAATATAATGCCTGACCATAGTAAAAGCGCTCAGAAAGTATTAACTGTCACCGCCATCCGGGTTGAAAAAGGTGTGAGCGCAGGGTACAGAAATGCTGGCTCCAGGTTTGACCTCCTGGGCGAGAGGTCAGACACCAGACTAGGGAACTTCCTCTACTCGGCCTCAGCGTCTACCAGGTCGCGCCGGAGGCGTGGACACGGAGGCGGGGCCGGGAGGCGGAGGCGGGGCCGGGAGGCGGAGGCGGGGCCGGGAGGCGGAGGCGGGGCCGGGAGGCGGAGGCGGGGCCGGGAGGCGGAGGCGGGGCCGGGAGGCGGAGGCGGAGGCGGGGCGAGTCCGGAGGACTCCTCAGGCTGCGGGGAACATGGCGTTCTGGGGTTGGCGCGCCGTGGCAGCCGTCCGGGTGTGGGGCCGGGTAGCTGAACGGGCCGAGGCCGGGGGACACGTGGGGCCGTTCCAGGCCTGGAGCTGTCGGCTGGTGCTTGGCGGCAGGGACGATGTCAGTGCGGGACCGAGAGGCAGCCGCGGGGTCCGCGGTGAGCCCTTGGACTCGGCGCGCCCCTTGCAGAGGCCTCCCAGACCCGCGGTGCCCAGGGCATTCCGGAGGCAGCCGAGGGCAGCAGCTCCCGGTTTCTTCTTTTCGAGGTATTTTGGGCAAGGACAAGCACTTCTTGCGTGTTCGTTGTCTACACCTCGCCCCCCTTTCTCACCTTGCGGTGTTTCCTTTGAGGCATGTCTGGGAGTTACTTCCGTTCCAACACCCGGGGCCCGTCTTTACGCTGATCTGTGGACGTCCTTTACGGGGTTTTGTCGTTTAGTTCACCATTCCCCCATTGAAATATCTTCTAACCTTTAGTTACTTACATCATGCTGTGGTGAATAACCTTGTTTGCACCTCACTTTTTGCATAAATTCCTAGTACTGGGACTGCTAGGTCCAAAAGTATATGCATTTAACGCTTTAATTATCCCTCATAAATGTTGTGCGGTTAATGCTCCCACCCCATGTGATCATACCCGTCTCCATAGTAATTGCATCTAAGAGCTGAGCCTACATAGGAAAAAATCTTAAGGTCCATGGTTGTTAGGTATCAAATGCCCTATAATGGATGAATATTTAAGTAAATAATGGTACATTGACTTGATGCTGTCTGACACACTGCTGAAAATATTGGTGAAAAGTGAGGCTTGAAGTGGTAGTTCACCCTTGTAATACCAGCACTTTCGGAGGCTGAGACAGGGCGATAGCTTGAGGCCAGGAGTTCAAGACCAGCCTGGGCAACATAATGAGACCTCCATCTCTACAAAAAATTTAAAAATTAGCCGGGCATGGTGGCGCAAGCCTGTTGTCCCAGTTACTTCTGAGACTAAGGCAAGAGGATCCCTTGAGTCCAAGAGTTCAAGGCTGCAGTGAGCTATGATTGAGTCACTGCACTCCAGCCTGGGTGACAGAGCAAGACTCTTATCTACCTGGGAAAAAAAAGAAAAAAAAAGTTTAATAGATCCTGAAACGTCGGCTGGGCGTGGTGGCTCATGCCTGTAATCCCAGCACTTTGGGAGGATGAGGCAAGTGGATAACGAGGTCAGGAGTTCGAGACTAGCCTGGCCAACATGGTGAAATCCCGTTTCTACTAAAATTACAAAAATTAGCTGGGGGTGGTGGTGGGCGCCTGTAATCCCAGCTACTCAGGAGGCGGAGGCAGGAGAATCACCTGAACCCGGAAGGTGGAGGTTGCAGTGAGCTGAGATTGCACCATTGCACTCCAGCCCAGGCGAAAGAGCAAAACTCCGTCTCAAACAAAAGATCCTGAAGAGTCAGTCATTCATCCAAGAAGCCCTGACTGAGCTCTTGTTCTGTGCCAGACTCTGTTCTAGGTGCTATGGATGGAGCGGGGACCAGGACCGACAAACACATGGAGCGCATTCTAATATCAGTGATACTCTGCAAGACTGTTAAAGAAATCCTTGCTACCACTGGCCCTAAAGCAGGAGGCACAGGGCTCCCTATGAGGAGTCCATTGCATGGGCTTTCTGCAGTTTGGCTTTGGATTTTTGAGCTCTCTGAATTTGTTCTTTGTGTCCTTTGCACAGTGTCCCTCCCAGGTTGCCCCCATGCCTGCCCCTCAGGGTCCCCCACTCCCAGTGAATTTCACACCATGCAGCATATACTTTAAGCCATACATCTGATGTTCCAGACATTTGGTAAAATGCCGTTTATATGTTATTCAGTGACTCACAAACATTTTATTTACGTAGATGAGGAATGTACTCAGGCACCCTTCGGGATACCTTGGCCTCAGCAGGCACTCAACAGCCATAATAACTTTAATTCCTTTATGCTTCTCTTAACAGTTCATGTTTAGTAGCAGCACAGTAGCTATTTGAGGAATGACTTTAAGTTAATAAATGTCTGAAATGGGGCGTTTAATAGGTGGTGAGATGGTTTTAGAGCCAGGGTTTTCCCTCTTTGCTTCTCGACTACTTGACGAGTTTTCATTAGAAAACCCCTTTGGGGCCGGGCGCGGTGGCTCAAGCCTGTAATCCCAGCACTTTGGGAGGCCGAGACGGGCGGATCATGAGGTCAGGAGATCGAGACCATCCTGGCTAACACGGTGAAACCCCGTCTCTACTAAAAATACAAGAAAATTAGCCGGGCGAGGTGGCGGGCGCCTGTAGTCCCAGCTACTCGGGAGGCTGAGGCAGGAGAATGGCATGAACCCGGGGGAGCGGAGCTTGCAGTGAGCCGAGATCGCGCCACTGCACTCCAGCCTGGGGCACAGAGCAAGACTCCGTGTCAAAAAAAAAAAAAAAAAAAAAAACCCCTTTGGAGGTTTGCACTCAGAGAGTTGAGTGCCTACTGAGTGTACTGAATTATGAAATGAGCACAGTTCCCATTAACCTGAAATTTTTGCTCCCAAATAAGTCTTGATTCTGATTTATGACTGCTTTCCGTTGTAGCCCACTAGTCATCTGAGAAAGGTGATTATTTTGAGAGGCCTGGGAGGACATACATGGTCATTCTGGATGGTGGGGGTGGTGCAGAGGGCAGAACCATGCTTTCTTGCTATCCTGAGACTGGTCGCTATCTGTTTCCTTTGCTGCTGTGTTTTTTTCTGTCAGTATTAAAGGTGGAAGAAGGCCTATATCTTTTTCTGTGGGTGCTTCAAGTGTTGTTGGAAGTGGAGGCGACAGTGACAAGGGGAAGCTTTCCCTGCAGGATGTAGCTGAGCTGATTCGGGCCAGAGCCTGCCAGAGGGTGGTGGCCATGGTGGGAGCCGGCATCAGCACACCCAGTGGCATTCCAGACTTCAGGTACTGCCCGCAGTCCCACCTGCCTTCTGCACTCCCCTCCCCTGCCTCCTGCCCTCCCCACTGCCCGGTTTCTTGCAAAGGCCTCAGAGCCTCTGTCTTCTCTCCCTGCAGATCTCCAGGGAGTGGCCTGTACAGCAACCTCCAGCAGTACGATCTCCCGTACCCCGAGGCCATTTTCGAACTCCCATTCTTCTTTCACAACCCCAAGCCCTTTTTCACTTTGGCCAAGGAGCTGTACCCTGGAAACTATAAGCCCAACATCACTCACTACTTCCTCCGGCTGCTTCATGACAAGGGGCTGCTTCTGCGGCTCTACACGCAGAACATCGATGGGCTTGAGAGAGGTGAGCCCTCTGTGAGTCGCACACATTCTTTTTCTCACAGGGAAGGCTCAGGTGCCTGTTTCTGGGGACGGCCGAAGCCTGGTGTTTGTGCTTCTTCCTTGGGACTGTTTTTGAGCCAACTAGTTAGGGCTTTGTTCCCAAGGAAAATGTCTCTGGGTGTTTAAAGGCCACTGCTTGTTCTCCTACATACCTGCAGAGCTGTGTATTTTGGGCAGAAGTTGACATTGTTTTGCCAGTCTGGTGTGATGATCTCTCTTTTTTCTTCTCTCTTTTAAAAATTGTATTATGGAATTTTTTTGAGCACACGCAAAGAGAAAAATGTAACGAACCGTCCTGTCCTCATCACCAGCACATAGCCAGTCCTTCCTGCATCCTCACCACCTTCTTCCAAATCCCCAGATTATTTTGAAGCAAACCTCTCATATCATGAATTTAATCTAGAAATAATCTATAAACACATGAATGGATATCTCTAGAGGATACTTTAAAAACAACTCCGGCCAGGTGTGGTGGCTCACATCTGTAATCGCAGCATTTTGGGAGGCCGAGGCAGGTGGATCACCTGAGGTCGGGAGTTCGAGACCAGCCTGGCCAACGTGGCAAAACCCCATCTCTACTAAAAATACAAAAAATTAGCCAGGCATGGTGGTGTGTGCCTGTAATCCCAGGTATTTGGGAGGCTAAGACAGGAGAATCTCTTGAACCCAGCAGGCGGAGGTTGCAGTGAGCCGAGATCATGCCACTTCACTCCAGCCTGGGTGACAGAGGGAGACTCTGTCTCAAAAAAATAAATAAAAATAAAAATAATTAAAAAAAAATAAAACCAACTCTGATACCATTTTCACGCTAAAGAATCACTAGTAATTCCTTAATATTGTCACACCCAGTCTGTGGTGATTTCTTGGCCATATCCACATGGTGCCCAAACCAGCGGTTCACAGGTTGTGCCACCTTCTGGCCGTGCACCTTGCGGAAGCACTTGGTGGGGCCTTTTCCTTACGTGCAGTGCTGTGGACAGGCGCTGGGACAGTCAGCCCTCCGGGAGCCAGGAGCGGCTCAGCCAGTCTGCTGATGTGTTGTCAGGTAAAAAGAGGAGGCACCTTGGCTCCAGGCATGTGTTTCCTTGCCAGAAGGATCCCCTAGCTTGGAACCACAGAGGCAGCAGTGGGTACCCCATGTTGGTGGTCTCTTCTCCCAGAGGTGCAGCAGGGCAGGCCTTGTGGGAAGGTGGGAGCTCCTGGCTGTGAGATTCAGCACTGCTGAGTTAGGGCAGCGACAGGGACTTGGGAAGCCTCCTACAGCGGGGACCATGACAATACTAACACAACCTTCATAGGAAGTCACTTTTTGTCTGTTTTTCTACCAAGCCGTTCTTTTGGAATTTATGATATTTATATCCTCATTTTAACTTGGTATAGAATAGAAAATGTGTTCCTAGATATTGGATACAATTTTTTGAGGCAGGGTCTTGGCTCTTTTGCCCAGGCTAGAGTGCAGTGGCATGATCATAGCTCACTATAGCCTGAGCTCTTGGGCTGAAGTGATCCTTTTGCCTCAGCCTCTGGACTAGCTGGGACTACAGGCATGCACTACCATGCCTGGCTAATTTGTAAAATTTTTAAAGACAAGTCTCACTATGTTGCCCAGGCTGGTCTCAAACTCCTGGCCTCAAGTGATCCTCCTGCCTTGGCCTTCCAAAGCACTGGGATTACAGCTGTGAGCCACTGTGCCCAGCCTGGTATTGGATATAATTTTTTTTTTTTTTTTTTGAGACGGAGTCTTGCTCTCTCACCCGGGCTGGAGTGCAGTGGCCGGATCTCAGCTCACTGCAAGCTCCGTCTCCCGGTTTCACGCCATTCTCCTGCCTCAGCCTCCCGAGTAGCTGGGACTACAGGCGCCCGCCACCTCGCCCAGCTAGTTTTTTGTACTTTTTAGTAGAGATGGGGTTTCACCGTGTTAGCCAGGATGGTCTCGATCTCCTGACCTCGTGATCCGCCCGTCTCGGCCTCCCAAAGTGCTGGGATTACAGGCTTGAGCCACCGCGCCCAGCCTGATATAATTTTTTTTTTTTAGAGACAGAATCTCTCTCTGTCACCCAAACTGGAGGGCAGTAGCACGATCTCAGCTCACTGCAACCTCCACCTCCCAGGTTCAAGCGATTCTCCTGCCTCAGCCTCCCCGAGTAACTGGGACTACAGGTGCCCGCCACCACGTCCGGCTAATTTTTGTATTTTTAGTGGAGGTAGAGTTTCACCATGTTGGCCAGGCTGGTCTCAAACTCCTAACCTCAAATGATCTGCCCACCTTGGCCTCCCAAAGTGTTGGGATTACAGGCTTGGGCCACCGTGCCCGACTGGATATAATTTTATTTGAGCTTTTATCAAATGGTGTTTTGTACTGAGTTTTGACAGGCTTTGTTTTAACCGTGATTTGGCTCCAGCTGGGCGCCCCTTTGCTCCCCTGCCTTATTCTGGTTGGTGGTGCATGTAGGTGATATGGGCATGAACACCAGGCTTGAGGACATCGCAACCCAACGGGGTTGTGCCTCCTTCCAGGAGGCCTGCCAAGCCCAGAAGTTGTGCTCTGGGACTTGTGTGCTCATCTTGGAGGCAGCAGCAACACTTAGCTTTGGCTTGAATTTCAGTGTCGGGCATCCCTGCCTCAAAGCTGGTTGAAGCTCATGGAACGTTTGCCTCTGCCACCTGCACAGTCTGCCGAAGACCCTTCCCAGGGGAGGACTTTCGGGTGAGTTATCCTGCTGTCGGTCGTCCTTCTGCAGTTTGCTGTTGGGGTGATCTGGAAAAGTGGTATTTTATAAGCATTGTCTCGAAAGGACAGTTGAACAGTAATAGTATGAAAATTTTTATTTGTAAATTAGAAATTTAATACATGTTTGTAAAACAATTTAAGATAATATAGAAATATGTAGGGAAAGGCCGGGCGCGGTGGCTCAAGCCTGTAATCCCAGCACTTTGGGAGGCCGAGACGGGCGGATCACGAGGTCAGGAGATCGAGACCATCCTGGCGAACACGGTGAAACCCCGTCTCTACTAAAAAAAAATACAAAAAAAAAAAAAAAACTAGCCGGGTGAGGTGGCAGGCGCCTGTAGTCCCAGCTACTCGGGAGGCTGAGGCAGGAGAATGGCGTAAACCCAGGAGGCGGAGCTTGCAGTGAGCTGAGATCCGGCCACTGCACTCCAGCCTGGGCGACAGAGCCAGACTCCATCTCAAAAAAAAAAAAAAAAAAAAAAAGAAGAAATATGTAGGGAAAATGAATCTCCTTTCAGCCAATTCCAGCTGCCCACTTTTTAATTTTTTTCAAGACGGAGTCTTGCTCTGTCACCCAGGGTGGAGGGCAGTGGGGTGATCTTGGCTCACTGCAACCTCCGTCTCCTGGGTTCAAGGAATTCTCCTGCCTCAGCCTCCTAAGTAGCTGGGATTACAGGCATGTACCACCACACCCAGGTAATTTTTTTTTCTTTTTCTGTATTTTTAGTAGTGACAGGGTTTCACCATGTTGGCCAGGCTGGTCTCGAACTCCTGACCTCAGGTGATCCGCCCACCTTGGCCTTCCAAAGTGCTGGGATTACAGGCATGAGCCACCACGCCAGCCCCTGTTGCCCACTTTTAACAGCTTGGTGTATAATGTTCCAGGCCTTTTTAAAAAAAAAAAGTGATATGTTTATGTAAACGTGCTACACGTATTTATGTACATACACCTACACACAGTTGAAAAATTTTTTTTCAGGCTGGGCACAGTGGCTCACACCTGTAATCCCAGCACTTTGGGAGGCCAAGGCGGGCAGATCATGAGGTCAAGAGATTGAGACCATCCTGTCTAACACGGTGAAACCCTGTCTCTACCAAAAATACAAAAATTAGCTGGGCGTGGTGGTGGGCGCTTGTAGTCCCAGCTACTCGGGAGGTTGAGGTAGGAGAATTGTTTGAACCTGGGAGGCAGAGGTTGTAGCGAGCTGAGATGGTGCCACTGCACTCCAGCCTGGCGACAGAGCGAGACTCCGTCTCAAAAAACAAAAAATTTCAGCAATGGAGTTATTTTTTTTATTTTTATTTTTTTTGAGTCGGAGTCTCGCTCTGCCGCCCGGGCTGGAGTGCAGTGGCCGGATCTCAGCTCACTGCAAGCTCCGCCTCCCAGGTTCACGCCATTCTCCTGCCTCAGCCTCCCGAGTAGCTGGGACTACAGGCGCCCGCCACCGCGCCCGGCTAGTTTTTTGTATTTTTTAGTAGAGATGGGGTTTCACCGTGTTAGCCAGGATGGTCTCGATCTCCTGACCTCGTGATCCGCCCGTCTCAGCCTCCCAAAGTGCTGGGATTACAGGCTTGAGCCACCGCGCCCGGCCTGCATTTTTTAATTACAGCTATCCCTGTGGGTGGGAACTGGTAACCCGTTGTAGCACTGATTGGTGTTTTCCTAATGATTCAGATATCAAACATCTTTCCATGTACTTTTTGGCCATTTGTGTATCTTTGGAGATTGAATTCCTTTGCGCATTGTTTAATTGTGTTGTCTTGGCCGGGCGAGGTGGCTCAAGCCTGTAATCCCAGCACTTTGGGAGGCCGAGACGGGCGGATCACGAGGTCAGGAGATCGAGACCATCCTGGCTAACACAGTGAAACCCCGTCTCTACTAAAAAAAAAAATACAAAAACTTAGCCGGGCGAGGTGGCGGGCGCCTGTAGTCCCAGCTACTCGGGAGGCTGAGGCAGGAGAATGGCGTGAACCCGGGGGAGCGGAGCTTGCAGTGAGCTGAGATCCGGCCACTGCACTCCAGCCTGGGCGACAGAGCGAGACTGCGTCTCAAAAAAAAAAAAAAAAAAAAAAAAATTGTGTTGTCTTTTTTATTGTTAAGAGTCCTTTATATATTCTGGAAGCTAGATCCTTATCAGACACATAGTTTGCAAGTATTTTCTGCCATTCTGTAGGTTGTCTTTTTTACTTTCTTGATAATATCTCTTGATGCATGAAAGTATTGATTTCTGATGAAATCCAGTTTATCTATTTTTTTCTCACTCTTTTGGAATATCTGAGAAATGGTATTATTTTACCCTATGTTTTCTTATAAGAGTTTTATAGTTTAAAGCTTTTACATTGAGTTCTTTGATCCCTTTAGAGTTAATTTTTGTGTGTGCTGTGAGGTAGGGATCCAGCTTCATTTTCTTGTATGTGGATATGTAATTGTTCCAGCACCGTTTTTTAAACGGAAACTGGTCTTGGCATTCTTGTTGAAAGTCAGTTGGCCTAGGTGTACGGTTATTTCTGGATTCTCAGTTCTATTCCATTGTTATATGTATATCCTTGTGCCTGCACTGTCATGTTTTGGTCACTATAGCTTTGTAGTAAGTTTTGAACTTAGGAAGTGTGAGTCCAGCACATATAGAAACTTAATATATGCGTATTATTCTTTTTATCAACTCATTCATTCATTGAATGACCAATTTATTCCACAAATAGTTTGGTCTGCTCAGTGCCAGGCCTTTTGCTGGGTTCTGTGGATGTGAAAACAAATTAAGGTGGAGTCATCCAACAGTTACAGTTGGGTGCCATACCAGTTTTACTGCAGATATGTACTGGATGCTATGCTGAGTCAGCTGTAGGAACAGAGCAGGCTGGGAAGCACCTTGGAGATGAGGCTGTCTGGGTGTAAGTCTGTTTCTGGCAGCAGAGACCTGGAGTATGGGAGGCCTGCTTGCCCTGTTAGGATTTGAACTGTATCCTGACGATCATGGGAGGCATTGAAGGATATTTAGGCAGGAAAATGATGTGAAGGGATTTGCATTTAAAAGAGATTATGAGGGGCTGGGCACAGTGGCTCACACCTGTAATGCCAGCACTTTGGGAGGCCTAGACAGGCAGGTCACCTGAGGTGGGGAGTTTGAGAGCAGCCTGGCCAAAATGGTGAAATCCCATCTCTACTAAAAATACAAAAATCAGCTGGGTGTAGTGGTGCACCTGTAATCCCAGATACTCAGGAGGCTGAGGCAGGAGAATCGCTTGAATCCGGGAGGGGGAGATTTCTGTGAGCTGAGATCGCACCACTGCACTCCAGCCTGGGTAACAGAGTGAGACTCCATCTCAAAACAAAATAAATAAATAAATAAGAGAATAAAATAGATAATTTGGGCAACAAGTTGTTTTTTTTTTTTTTTTTTTTTGAGACGGAGTCTCGCTCTGCCGCCCACGCTGGAGTGCAGTGGCCAGATCTCAGCTCACTGCAAGCTCCGCCTCCCAGGTTCACGCCATTCTCCTGCCTCAGCCTCCCGAGTAGCTGGGACTACAGGCGCCCGCCACCGCGCCCGGCTAGTTTTTTGTATTTTTTTAGTAGAGACGGGGTTTCACCATGTTAGCCAGGATGGTCTCGATCTCCCGACCTCGTGATCCGCCCGTCTCGGCCTCCCAAAGTGCTGGGATTACAGGCTTGAGCCACCGCACCCGGCCACAAGTTGTTGTTAATTCCCTGCCTTTGTTCTCCTCCTTCAGTACTGTGTTGGCTGTTCTGAATCTTTTGCCTTTTCATGTAAATTTCCGAAACTGTTGCTATCTGTTCTCTGCCTGTTTTATTTTTGTTGTTGTTGTTTGGGTTTTTTTTTTTTTTTTTTTTTTTTTTTTTTTTTTTTTTGAGACAGAGTCTTGCTCTGTCGCCCAGGCTGGAGTGCAACGGTATGATCTCGGCTCACTGCAACCTCCGCCTCCCAGGTTCTAGCGATTCTCTTGCCTCAGCCTCCTGAGTAGCTGGAATTACAGGCGCGTGCTGCCACGCCCAGCTAATTTTTGTATTTTTAGTAGAGATGGGGTTTCATCTCTACTATGGGGTCAGGCTGGTCTCGAACTCCTGATCTCGTGATCCGCCCACCTCAACCTCCCAAAGTGCTGGGATTACAGGCATGAGCCACCGTGTCCAGCCTCTCTGCCTGTTTTTTAAGACTTTTGTCTTTGGAGTTTTGCAGTTTCTCCATGCTGGTTTTCCATATGAATTTCCTTTGATTTCTTCTGCGTAAAATTTGTGGGCCAGGTGGGCGCAGAGGCTCACGCCTGTAATCCCAACACTTTGGGAGACCAGGTGGGTGGATCGCCTGAGGTCAGGAGTTCGAGACCAGCCTGACCAACATGGAGAAACCCCATCTCTACTAAAAATACAAAATTAGCCGGGCATGATGGTGCATGCCTATAATCTCAGCTACTCGGGAGGCTGAGGCAGGAGAATTGCTTGAACCCAGGAGGTGGAGGTTGTGGTGAGCCAAGATTAGGCCATTGCACTCCAGCCTGGGAAACAGGAGAGAGACTCCATCTCAAAAAAAAAAAAAAAAAAAATTGTAGACCTTCCTTGAGAAAAATAAAATACAATTCTAGGCCAGGCGCGGTGGCTCATGCCTGTAATCCCAGCACTTTGGGAAGCTGAGGCGGATGGATCACCTGAATTAGGAGTTTGAGACCAGCCTGGCCAACATGGTGAAACCCCGTCTCTACTAAAAATACAAAAATGAGTCACGTGTGGTGGCACCCATCTGTAATCCCAGCTACTTGGGAAGCTGAGGCAAGAGAATTGCTGGAACCCAGGAGGCAGAGGTTGCAGTGAGCCGAGATTATGCTACTGCACTCCAGCCTGGGTGACAGAGTAAGATGCCATCTCAAAAAAATAAAATACAAAATAAAATTCTAAGCCCTGCAACCAACTGAATGGACCCCTCCCCTTGGTCAAGGGAACCCCAGAGAAACCTTGGAAGTCAGTTCCTGGCCATAGCAGGAGGGGAGGTCAGATGCGCCTCATTATACCCCTCCCTCCCCAACCACCATTAGGCTTTCTTCACTAAGGGCTAAACAGAAACCAACACTTTTCAAAGACTCCATACTGCTAATGTGGATTACTGGCTTATCTTCCCAGATACAGATCAAAGGCAAGATGAGATGAATGGTTCCTTCACCCTTCCCTGAGAGGTCTGCTTAGTTCTCTTCCTCTGTTTCCTTCTGTCACTTCCTGAAGTCTCACAAGTACTTAACCATTCACCTCACAGCCACCCTCCCCCTTTGAAGGACCACGTATAATTACTAAACCTCCTGAGAACCTCTTGGGACAAAACCACAGATGTGCTTGTGACTCATGTTTTTCCTGTGGGCACCCTCATGCTGGCTCAGTAGCCCTCGCTTGCTTGAGATCCTGAATCTGTGGGTTGGTGTCTTTCATGGTTGCTGGATAATACTCGGCTGTTATCTTGGGATATGCATTGCCCCTGGCCCACTATCTGGCCCCTCTCTTTAGGGACCTCTGATTGAACCTACGTTAGTCCTTCTCTCTCCTGCTGTTCCTGATCACTCTTCTGTTCTTTCATTGCTCCTCCTTGTGCTGCGTTCTGGGTGATTTCTTCTGGTCTTTCTTCCGGTTTGCTAATATTGTGTTTTCTGTTATAAAGTCCTTCCATTGAGTGTTTGCTGCTTTCTTTTTTCCCAAAACCAACTCGAAACAGACGTTGAGCTTTAATTTTTTATTTCTGTACTTTTTATTTCTAGAAGTTCTGTTTGGTTATTTTTCACGTCTGCTACATTATTTTTTAATAGTTTTGTATCTTTGATAGTTTTTTTTTTTTTTTTGAGATGGAGTCTCACTCTGTTGCCCAGGCTGCAGTGCAGTGGCGCAATCTCAGCTCACTGCAACCTCTGCCTCCCTGGTTCAAGCAATTCCCCTGCCACAGCCTCCCAAGTAGCTGGGATTACAGGTGCGCACCACCACGCCTGGCTAATTGTTTGTGTTTTAGTAGAGACAGGGTTTCACCATGTTGGCCAAGACAGTCTGATCTCCTGACCTCATAATCCGCCCACCTCGGCCTCCCAAAGTGCTGGGATTACAGGCCTGAGCCACTGCGCCCGGCCTTTAATAGATTTTTCAAGTTCGTCTTTTTTTTGCTTCCTTAATTTTTTTTTTTTTTTACTATACCCCATGCCTCCAAGATAACAGTTTTTTCTTTTTAATTTAGATATAATACAGTTTTACTGTGTATCCAAGATTATCTGAAATCTTTTGTGGGTCTCTTTCTTTTGTCTTTTGTTTCTGTTGCTTCTTGTTGGATTGAGCCTGCTTAAAACAAGCCCCGTTAGCGGTAAAGGTTTCCCTTAGAAAGTCAGGTGTCTTCCTCTGTAACTCTCTCCCTTTTCCATCTGCTCCAAGGCATTAGTTTATATTAGTCTTGACTCAGTGAAGTTGTGTCTACTTCACCTTGGCCAGTAGGGAAGCAGTGTTTGGCAGATGTTACTCCTAATAATGCCAGCCAGTGAGTGAAGCCGACCTGAAAGCCTCCCTGGGCTGAGGCAATGGCATGATCACTGAAGCTCAAACCAGAGACAGTTTCACCTTGTGACCGAATGATGTTCGGTGTAGGCCAAATGCCTGCAGACTACTGTTGGAGGACCGGTGTGGTCTACCAGGTGTTTTCTTAGCACCAGAATGTCTCTGGTCACCATCCCAGGTGTAGAGCACGGTGTTAGATACGCTAGATGCCTGCCGAAGTAATAATGGGTGAAACGTATGATGTCCAAGATTTGCTTTTAAATGCTCCAACACCTCCTCCCAGATTCTGGAGGGCTATGACACAATCAGCTGTGAAAACTGGTAATTCCTAAAGCTGGTTACATGGGGGTTCATGATACCTCTCCCACCTTTTTTGGGGGAGAATGTTTGACACTTTAATAAGAACTTGTTGCCTTTTCCTTTTACAGGGTGTTGCAAGTATCTTCCTCAGGCCTGTTTTCTCTGTTTTCCAGGCTGACGTGATGGCAGACAGGGTTCCCCGCTGCCCGGTCTGCACCGGCGTTGTGAAGCCCGACATTGTGTTCTTTGGGGAGCCGCTGCCCCAGAGGTTCCTGCTGCACGTGGTTGATTTCCCCATGGCAGATCTGCTGCTCATCCTCGGGACCTCCCTGGAGGTTTGTCAGCCTGTGCAGGGAGGAGGCTGGAGGGCAGGGGAAGGGAGGGGTACAGAAATCATCTCATGGGCCCTTCTGGGGCTGGTGCCACTTTTGGAAAGTGAGTGGATTCAGCTGGGGTTCCAGGCTGAGGGAACAGCAGCCTGTGCGGGAGACAGGAAGGTAGGAAGCTGCTGGGCTTTGGAGGTGGTATAGGTGCGGGTGGGGCACCACGTGTGAGGAGAAGGGAGGAGGAAAGGGGGCGTCGGGATGAGGTGGAGGGGCAGGCCTCCCAGGTCAGATTAGGAATACTGATGCTGCGTTGGGAGTAGTGATAAATCCAAAGGGACTGGCCCAGGGACGTAGCTGCACCCTTGGGGTCAGAGAGGCCTTTGGGGAGTGGAGAGTGGAGCAAGCAGTGCCAGGAGGCTGGTCCTGAAGAAGGTGGAGCTGTGGTCACCTGAGGGACAGCAAGGAGGGGGACTGGACTTGCAGCCTGTGTTGTTTTGGGGGTGTGAGAAGGAGGCGTCTGGCTTGTTCTGTAAAGTCAGGGCATTTGCTGGTGAGGCGTGATTTGGGAGGGAGGATGCCCAGCTCGGTTCTGTGCATGTCTCAGGTGCCTGGGAAACGCCCCCTGGATGTGGCCAAGCAGCTGTTCTGCATCTGCGTCTGAAGCTCAGGAAATTCCTAAAAGCTGTGATGAGTCACGCAGTGTGTGTGTGACTGGATATAGGCACCAAGGGCAGAAGGGCCAGAAAGACCTGTGCTTCGAGGGGCCCAGGGCAGCCGCAGGGCCCAGAGCGTATGTTTGTTCGGGCCTTCATTGTGTGCTGGGCCCTCCTCCAGTGCTTTCAACATCCACAGTCAGATGTCAGTGTAAGAAGTTATGTAGTTTGTGAGGAGATGATTGATGTTCTGGGAAAGATAACAAGTAGGAAAGAAGGGCTAGGAGGGTTGGGAACCAGCTGCAGTGTCAAGCCAGGCAGGTGGAGTTGGAGCTAAGAGTTTACCAAGGTGAGGGGGGTCTGGCCGAGGACACTGCACACGTGACAAACAGCCAGGAGGGTGGGGCGACGTCAGCAGTGACGGGCACGGGCTGGAGCAGAGAAGGAGGTGGGGCACAAGTGTCATCTCATGGGAGGCTGGCGCTGCCTGAGAAGATGAATGGATTCAGCTTGGGTTCCAGGCCAGAGCTTGGAAGTTGAGAGGACTCCTTTGGGTGCTGGGCTGTGAGCCCACCACGGGGGCAAGACTAGGAGCAGCAGACCCAGCAGGGCCCTTATAGGTAATCACCGGCTGGCACTGGCTGGGGGCCGGGTAAAGCCAGCAGAGGCTGAGGGGTGCTGGAGTCTGGGTGTGTGTGAACGCAGAGTGGGCGTGCTGGCGCGGTGCATGGGAGGGCGTGGATTCCCAAGGACTCCAGGACTGTGGCTGGAGCAGCTAGAAAGATGGAGCCGCCATTTCCTGAGATGGAGAAGCCTGGTAGGTGGGTTTGGGGGAGCTCAGGAACTCAGCCTTGTTTCCACGGATTTGAGGATGTACTGCGGACTGGAGGTGTTGAGCAGGTGGATATGAGTCTGGAGTCCAAGAAGGCCCAGAGGCAGGAGCTGGGGTGCTGGAGTGAGCAGACAGGAGAGCCCAGGGTGTGGACAGACATGAGAATGCCATGCTAGGCCTAGGATGGAGGGACAGACACAGCAGGAGCAGTCAGAGGGGCCATGGTGGTCAGCAGAGTGCGGGCTGAGAGCAGCTGACCATGCTGGCCACCAGGTGTGGACACTCGGGCCACCAGCCGTCTTTATTATTGAAGTGAAATGAAAATGGCCTTTTTCCTTATTATAAGTACCATGTGCGTCTTTGAAAAGATTCATACAGGGCCGGACACAGGGGCTCACGCCTGTAATCCCAGCACTTTGGGAGGCCGAGACGGGCAGATCACGAGGTCAGGAGATCGAGACTATCCTGGCTAACACGGTGAAACTCCGTCTCTACTAAAAAAAAAAAAGATACAAAACATTAGCCGGGCGTGGTAGTGGGCGCCTGTAGTCCCAGCTACTTGGGAGGCTGTGGCAGGAGAATGGTGTGGACCAGGGAGGTGGAGCTTGCAGTGAGCTGAGATCGCGCCACCGCACTCCAGCCTGGGTGACAGAGAAAGACTCCGTCTCAAAAAAAAAAAAAACAAAAAAAAAGAAAGAAAATATTCATACATTATATAAAGATATAAAGCAAAGAATCAACTTTTTAATCCCACCAACTGTTAGCATTTTATTCTGTGTCCTCTCAGGTTTCTTTTTCTGTACAAATGCACACGTACAGATGGTAATTTTTAACTAAAAGTTGGACAGCACTGTACATTCTATTCTGCAGCCTGCTGTTTTCATGTAACAATGTGAGTCCATGGAGATCTGCTGCCTTGTTAATGCTGACAGTTTCCCTTATACGGATATGAGGTCCCACCTGAGAGGCCCATGTCTGTAAACACGGTGCCATCGTGAACTGAACGAGCTGGTGTCACGCATGGACTCTGTCTCATGTGCTTTGTGGACGAAATATTAATGTGTTTGACTATGGAGTACCACTCCGGATCCCCTTTAGGTGTGACATAGTATGTGGGGTGTAAACCATATGATCTTTTTTAAAATCTCAAAAATTCTGAAACATATTCAGCCACAAGAGCTTTAACATAGATTTTGTGGATTTAATACAAAGTTTATGTAAGCAATTTCTTACTGATGGACAATGACAATAAATTGTATATAATTTTTGTATTAAAAGTAATGCTGGGCCAGGCACTGTGGCTCACACCTGTTATCCCAGCACTTTGGGAGGCCAAGGCAGTAAGATTGCCTGAAGCTAGGCATTTGAGACCAGCCTGGGCAGTATAGTCAGACCTCATCTCTACAAAAAATAAAAAGATAGCCAGGTGCGGTCTGTGTAGTTGCAGCTATTTGAGAGGCTGAGGCAGGAGGATTGCTTGAGCCCAGGAGTTTGAGGTTATAGTGAACTATGATCATGCCACTGCATTCCAGCCTGGGCAACAGAATGAGATCCCACGCTGTAGCAAATATCCCTGTGTGTCACCCTGACCTACCCATGCAAGTGCTCCTGAAGGGTAAGTGCTGATAAATATTGAGAACTTGACTTCCAGAAAGATGTAACAATTACATTGCCACAAACTGTGTTTTTGTGTAGCCATTTTCTCACATCCTCACCAAAACCAAAATCACACAAATCAAATTGGTTAAAAAATGCATGTGTGTGTGTGGAGGGGGGTGTGGATTTTGCATTTCTGTAGTAAAGAATGAAATTCATCTTTTCATGTTTATTGGCCAGTTGTGTTTCCTCTCTTTGGATTGTATATTTATATCTCTTGTCCATTTTTCATTGGGTCATTGTAAATTAGCAATATAAATTAGTTTTAATTTTAATAGAAATTAAATAATATAATATAAATCAATTTTAAGGTTAATATAAATTTCTTTTCTTTTTGTTTTGAGACAGAGTTACGCTCTGTCTCCCAGGCTGGAGTGCAGTGGCACGATCTCGGCTCACTGCAACCTCCACCTCGCAGGCTCAAGCCATTCTCCTGCCTCAGCCTCCCGAGTAGCTGGGACTACAGGTGCCTGCCACCACGCCCAGCTAATTTTTGTGTTTTTAGTAGAGACGGGGTTTCACCGTGTTGGCCAGGCTGGTCTTGAACTCCTGACATCAGGTGATCCACCTGCCTTGTCCTCCCAAAGTGCTGGGATTATAGGCATGAACCACCGTGCCTGGCTATTAATAGAAATTTCATTATAAATTAGTTCATACATTATATGTTTATAAATGAGTTTATCAATTAGCAATATAAACTATTGTCATATGTTGTAAATATTTTTGCAGTTTATGAGAGGTTTTTAAAAATTTTTAATTTTCTACATAGTAGTTTTATGTAGATACTGATGTAATAGTATTTACATAGTCAGATCTGTCATTTTCCTTTGCCTTATCTGACTTCAGTTTTCACATCTAAAATGTTTTTCCCTATCCTTACTTGTAAACTCTCAGTTTTCTTCAAGAACTGTTTTGTTTACATTGAAACCTTTAATCCATTTGAATTTTTTTCAATGGGAGGTAGGAATGGAGCATTTTCCTCCCAGATAATGAGCCAGTTTTAATGCCATTTATTAATGTGTCCATTTTTTACCTTGTTCCTCTTAAAAGACGCTTTGAGAGTTGTATGAAGAAGCCTGATGGCACCGAGCTAGGCCTCTCTAGAGGCTGGGTGGTGAAGACCATGGAGAGACGTAACAGTAACTCCTGCTTGGGGGCACCAGCTTGTCTGGGTGCCCGATGCTGGTGGTGGCTGTCACTGCAAGCAGGGCTAGCCAGAGGAGATGGACGAGTCTGTGCTGTCGTCCCTCTGTGGCATGCGGAGACAGCGAGCTGGGGAGGACAGGGAGAACAGAACGTGCTCACAAAGAGGAGGTAGGAAGGTTGGATCCCTGGTGAGCCTTGGAACGGAGGTGGGGAGAAGCAAGGATGTGTGGAAGCAGCAAGGAGTGGAAGAGAGGGAGGCTGAGGGGAGGAAAGAGAGTCACTGAGGCCAAGCGGCAGGAGCTCAACTGAAGAAATGAGATTGGTGGTGGGTTTTCTGTGTATCGCCGGGTCTGACTGCCAGTCTGCTGCTCCTCCAAGGCCTCAGTGGCTATGGCACGAAACATCCTGCGGGGCTTGTAGGGTGGACACTGTACCCTCACATTTGGGCCATTTTTCAGGTGGAGCCTTTTGCCAGCTTGACCGAGGCCGTGCGGAGCTCTGTTCCCCGACTGCTCATCAACCGGGACTTGGTGGGACCCTTGGCATGGCGTCCTCGCGGCAGGGACGTGGCCCAGCTGGGGGACGTGGTTCACAGCGTGGAAAGGCTAGTGGAGCTTCTGGGCTGGACAGAAGAGATGCGGGACCTCGTCCGGCGGGAAACTGGGAAGGTACAGACGCTGAGGAGGACCATCCAAGGGGCTGCCCTCCTCACTGCTCTAGGGTGTGCTCCATCTGGTATGGAGCCCCACTGGCTAACACGGTAACAGTCGTAACCGATGATGCTGTGAATCCTGCACCAGGCGCTACCTGGACCTGATTGGGTATTACTTTCAATAACTCCATTTAGAGATGAAGAAACAGATGGTAACAGGCCAAGCAGGGACACGGTCCAGACACTCAGGGCTGATGAGTCTGTACTCTTAACAGACTGTAGGCGTTATCTTCACTCCCTAAAGTAAAGCAGCCAACAGTGTTCCTCTAAGGCCTGGTATGTGATTCTGAGATGATACGGGTTAAAGAACTTTGAGAAGCTAAAGTTCTCTGCATCTGTGTGGGATGAAGGCTCCATTAGTGATGCTTTTCGGAAGTAATTGGTATGAGAGCCATTGATCGATTATAATCCGCTGAGGAAAGCCAAAGGGGCTCGATGCTTTCTTTCTAAGAGATTCCAAACCGCCTGTAAACAAGTGAAGTTACAGAAAATGCAGTTTCCCATGAGAATCATGTAGCATGTGTAGCCTTGATATTAAGGGTTTTCAGTGGGAGGTAGCATTAAGCATTTAAAGTCCAGCGTTGCCGGGCGCGGTGGCTCACGCCTGTAATCCCAGCACTTTGGGAGGCTGAGGCAGGTGGATCACGAGGTCAGGAGATCGAGACCATCCTGGCTAACATGGTGAAACCCCCGTCTCTACTAAAAATACAAAAAAAAAAAATTAGCCAGGCGTGGTGGTGCGTGCCTGTAGTCCCAGCTACTCGGAGGCTGAGGCAGGAGAATGGCGTGAACCCAGGAGGCAGAGCTTGCAGTGAGCCAAGGTGGTGCCACTGCACTCCAGCCTGGGCGACAAAGTGAGACTCCGTCTCAAAAAAAAAAAGTCCAGCGTTATGATTACAGGCAGATGTGACACTGTCCAAAGGGGATTTCACCAGTGTATTAGTGTGTTCTCATGCTGCTAATAAAGGCATACCTGAGACTGGGTCATTTATAAAGGAAAGAGGTTTAATGGACTCACAGTTCCATATGGCTGTGGGGGCCTCACAATCACAGTGGAAGACAAGGAGGAGCAAAGTCCCGTCTTCCACGGCGGCGGGCAAGAGGACGTGTGCAGGGGAACTGCCCTTTCGAAAACGGTCAGATCTTGTGAGACGTACTCACTACCACAAGAACAGCATGGAAAAGCCCCGCCCCCATGATTCAGTGACTTCCACTTGGCCCATCCTTACAATTCAAGGTGAGATTTGGGTGGGGACACAGCCAAACTGTATCAACCAGAATATATCACAATTGATGCTCCTCTTGTCTTCCAAGGCAGGTGTCTTAGGAAATCCTGATCCTTTTTCCTCGTCCACAGCTGTGGCTGCCTCGTGGCTCAGGGCCATGGGGTCAGCACTCTCCTCACCTCCACCAGTCTGAGACCTCCAACCTCTGGTCGCAGGCTGATTTTTTACCAATCATGGTCACTTCATTATGGTAGCAGGGAACCCAGCTAACAACGAGACTTAAACGCTGAGAGGCGAGTGCCTCCTGGCCAGCTCACAAGGCAGCAGAGGTCTTAGATCAGTCCAGTAGGCTTTTTTGAGGGAGCCCTTTCCTGCTCTGACTTCCTATTTTCTTTTTTTTTTTTTTTTTTTTTTTTTTGAGACGGAGTCTCGCTCTGTCGCCTGGGCTGGAGTGCAGTGGCCGGATCTCAGCTCACTGCAAGCTCTGCCTCCCGGGTTTACGCCATTCTCCTGCCTCAGCCTCCCGAATAGCTGGGACTACAGGCGCCCGCCACCTCGCCCGGCTAGTTTTTTGTATTTTTTTTAGTAGAGACGGGGTTTCACCGTGTTAGCCAGGATGGTCTCGATCTCCTGACCTCATGATCCGCCCGCCTCGGCCTCCCAGAGTGCTGGGATTACAGGCTTGAGCCACCGCGCCCGGCCATTTTCTTTTTTTTGTAACGGAGTTTCACTCTTATTGCCCAGGCTAGAGTACAGTGGCGCGATCTCGGCTCACTGCATCCCTGCCTCCCGGGTTCAAGTGATTCTGCTGCCTCAGCCTCCTGAGTAGCTGAGATTACAGGCACATGCCACCATGCCCGGCTAATTTTTGTACTTTTAGTAGAGACGGGGTTTCACCACGTTAGTCAGGCTGGTCTCAAACTCTTGACCTCAGGTGATCCACCCGCCTCAGCCTCCAAAGTGCTGGGATTACAGGTGTGAGCCAGCTTCCCCGGGCCCAACTTCTGTTTTCATAGAAAAGCAGATTATAATTCTGGTAGCTCCTGTGGGGTTCTGGAAGTGGCCCAACAGGATTTGAACTGTGTAATGTAGTTTCACACAAATGTACGTAAAATGGGTTATGATTTTTTGGTTTTTAAATAATTACTATCCAAGGGGTTACTTTTCCAAATAGTGCATGGTTTTAAGCACACGAGCATCAGTACATCTTGATTTGGGCACTTCAGGTCCCTTAGAATGAGGCTCTCCGTTTAGCCACCCTGCTCTGCCCAGGCCTGCTGGGATGCTCTTAGCCTGCACAGCAGCAGTATTTGCAGAATGCAGCTTGTTTTGTGAGATATTTTGCATGTTTGCAGCTAGATCTGTTTGACCAGAGATCTGCTGGCCTGCCTGGGTGTGTTAAGAGACAGCTGATACCCTCTGTCTTCTGTGTTCCAGCTTAATGGACCAGACAAATAGGATGATGGCTGCCCCCACACAATAAATGGTGACATAGGAGACATCCACATCCCAATTCTGACGAGACCTCATGGCTAATTTTGGTGAAACCAGAATATGTGAACTGAGTGGACACCAGAGGCTGCCACTGGAACGTCTTCTCAGGCCGTGAGCTGTGCTGCGCTGACTGGTAGGGCTGTTTACGTTCAGGGCCACCCCGTCACATATACAAAGGAGCTGCCTGCCTGCCTGTTTGCTGTGTTGAACTCTTCACTCTGCTGAAGCTCTTAGTGGAAAAAGCTTTCTTCTGTGACCCTCTTGAACTGAACAGACTGACTGGAATCCCAGACCGAGTTTGCTTTCTGTGCCCAGGTGAAGGGCAAGCTCAGCATCTGTTGGTTAGAAGATCTAGACGTGGGCCGAGCAGCCCCCACCCAGCCCTCTTCATGTCCCAAAGTGTAGTCCTGAGACCCTAGTGCTGCACTTCTAGCATGTTGGTCTCCTTTAGTAGGGCTATTTTTAATGAGAGAAAATCTGTTCTTTATTTCCAGCATGAAATACATTTCATCTCCTCAAAGGGACTGCAAGGTTGACATGAGTTGGAAAGGGAACCCTGGAATACATGGCATCCCCTCTGTTGGAACAGTCTGAGGACTGAAGGCATTTGTCCCTGGATTTATTGGAGATGGCCCAGCTCCTCCCTCTGAAGGTAGTCACATTCTGTTGACTCTCCATACTCAGCCTCTCCTCCAGAAACAGATCGGTTCCAGAACATTCCAGCACTTTCTATCTGGTCTCCTTGTCCCCACACTAGTCCCCCTCCCCCAGGGCTTCCTCCAGTGACAGTTAGAGCTAATCTCTGAGACAGGGAAGGCATTACTTACTTCAAACCCAGGCTGAGTCCTGGCCACCTGCTGGATTGTGACATATGAGGTGGAATCCACTGAGCTCCCACTTCTGCACAGGCTCCTTCTGGGGCAGCACCAAGGCCCAGCTCTGATGGCTCGCCCTGTCAGGCACCAGCTGCTTCCTCCTGGGCTCTTACCCACATGCACATCCTCCTTCCTAGCATCGGATTACCTGCGTGTTTCCCCAGACAAAAGCACTTCCCATTCCTGAACCTTGCCTACCCTGGGCTGAGCTGATGGGAATAGATTTAATGACAGTGACTCCCAGGAAGGGGGTCCTGTGACTTTGCTCTGGTAAGAACAAAAGGTGGAACTGGTGACCTAGGAAAAGTGTTGAATTCTAAAAAGAATGAAATTAGTTTCTAACTCTAGTTAATGTTCCTTTTTTTATTTTATTTTTTTGAGAGTCTTGCTCTGTCACTCAGGGTGGAGTGCAGTGTTGTGATCTCAGCTCACTGCAACTTCCGCCTCCCAGGTTTAAGCGATTCTCCTGCCTCAGCCTCCTGGGTAGCTGGGACTACAGATGTGTCCCACCACGCCTAGCACAGGGGCATATTTGTAATAGAGACGGGTTTTGCTGTGCTGGCCAGGCTGGTCTCGAACTCCTGGCTTCAAGTGATCCACCCGCCTCGGCCTCCCAAAGTGCTGGGATTACAGGCATGAGCCACTGTGCCTGGCCCCTTTATTTGATAATTTACACATATATTCACACATACGTTTTTGCCCAAAACTCTTTATTTCAAGATGACGTTTCTGTGGCTATGTGTGGTATGTGGTATAAATCTCAATCTATGGTTGCACGAGGGGCATTTTCCTTCTCGTAAGTGCAGTCTAAACCAGTAGGAAGGAGGTTTAATTGCCAAAACCAGTAAGAACTTGGGCACTGTGGGTACTACAGTGGGCAGGTGAACGAGGACCAAGGAGAATGTCTAAGAGGCCTCTAGCCCTGCGCTCGGTGAAGACAGGACAGAAACAACAGAGCATACATACCTTGGAAGTGTGTGTCCTGACATACTCGTCTAGAAAGTTCTGACAGGTTCTTTCTCCCTGGGAAGTGCAGCACATGCCCCAACACTGGCTCTGCCAGCGTGCCCATCCCAGATGTGCTTGCTTTGTGCACACCCACACCCAACCCCCTGCCCTCCCATATGCTCTTCTTTGTGTCCAGGTAGGCCCTGCCCTCAGGCAGCAGCTTCTGAACACATTCCTCTTGGCACAGACAAAAGAAAGTACTTTGTCTGTGGAATTCAAGGCTGAGCCCTGAGTTCTAGCACAAGAAGACCACTGCAGTCCAGAGATAAGAAACTGGACCAGAGGCAAATCATGAACAGAACCTTGGGAGTAAAGAGAAGGGGTTTCTAAGATGGAGAGAGGAGCGTGGAGCCAGTGGGATGTGGCTTCCCCAGGTTGCAACCCCAAGGAGTCTCTGGAAGCAGCACCAGTTCTGATGGGAGAGCAGAAGAGCTGCCATCCTCAGTCAGGGTCCGAGTCAGGGTCTGAGGAGAGCTGCTGCTCCATAGTCTCGCACATGGCATCCTGCAGGGACGTGAGATGACCCCGGGGACTCATCCCCATTGGCTGGATGACTCTGTTCCTGTGGGGAAAGGTGCAATGGGGCTGGGGAAGGGGCCCAGTTGGCCAGGCAGGGGTCCTGCTCACCCCTGGCTGCTACCTTCCTCTTCACCAAGTAAGCTGCTCTCATTTACGGGGGAAGCCTGGTTGGACCTTCCGTTAATTGGGCCCAAATCCTAACTGCTACCTCATGGCTTTAAGCAGTTTCTTAATTTAGACATCTAAATTGGTCTTAAGCAGTCTGTTCATTTGGACACTGGGCCATCTCCAATAAGTGTAGCAATGTTAGACCATCTCTTTTTTTTTTTTTTGAGACGAAGTCTCACTCTGTCGCCAGGCTGGAGTGTAGTGGCGCAATCTCAGCTCACTACAATCTCTGCCTCTCAGGTTCAAGTGATTCCCCTGCCTTGACCTCCCAAGTAGCTAGGACTACAGGCACCCACCACCACGCCCAGCTAACTTTTTTTTGTATTTTAGCAGAGACGGGGTTTCACCATGTTGGCCAGGATGCTCTCGATCTCCTGACCTTGTGATCCACCTGCCTCAGCCTCCCAAAGTACTGGGATTACAGGCGTGAGCTGCCATGCCCAGCCTTAGACAGTCTCTTTAATTTCTCTGGGCCTCAGTTATCATCTGTAAAATGGGCACAATACTGATCTCAATACACCCATCCCCTGGGGGGATTTCCTCTAGGGCAAGTGATTTCAAACATCAGCAATGCAACCTAACACCAGGATCCTAAGCTCTCCTCTGATCCTACCTCCTGGGGCTCACAAGACAGGATGTGGGTCAGCTCTCCCTTCTCCCAGCTACAGGCCCCTCCTCATCATGCCACACACCTGGAGAGCTTGTCAAACATGGTCACCAGCTTCATGGCCTCGTGCTCCTTCTGCTCCTCCGTCATGCCCTCCATAGGGTTAGGCGGCTTCTCCTCCACCCTCCCGGTCACCGGGTTTATGCTGTTTCCCAGCAGGTGGAATGTGGGGAATGCATTAGTGACTCTCCAGGACAGGAGGCAAGCCACCTCTTTTCCCAGTGGGGCGAGGTGGGCAAGGCAACTGCAGGAAGAGGCCTCCCTCCAGAAGCGGCACTGGTAACCAGCAACTGCCACCTGCCACCTTCTGGTATCCCAGATAGCACTTAGGGACAGGTGCTTGATTCTGGAAGGTCTTGCCCACTGGTCATCCTGTCCCACCCTACAGTGGTCCACATGGATGTCGAAGCAGGGACTAGGGGCTTTGAGTGGAGACCCGAGGGGGTGTTGGGGGCACACACCTGGCCTTGGCTTCCTTGTACTCGTCTGTGTCTGTGTCCTCATCCTCCGAGTACTGGCCCTCAGGCCGGCCTCCCGCCATGAGGCCCCTGGCAGCCAGAAGGCCAGCAGCATTCCCATAGCCTGTGTACTTGATGAATCGGGGCACTGGGGGGCAAGGCAGAGGTCAGTGTGCAAGCCTGGCTGAGGTGGGGGCGCTGGGACCCGGATCTCCATAACTCACCACTCTCAGAGCACAGGACAAACAAGAACTCGGCGGCCACTCTCTTCACATCTGTGTCCAGGTGTGTCATGAGGCGGACAAGCTTGTTTCGCAGCATCTCCCCAACCTCAGGCCGTGTCCTCACATCCCGCAGAGGGGGCAGCACCTGGGGAGGTGGCCGTCCCTAAGCTTGGGCTTGGTCTGTGATCAGGGCCGAAACCACATCCCCCAGGAGTGCCAGCTCCTCAGTCTCATACCTGGGCCTTCAGGAACTTCCTGGCTGGGCGGTGCATCCGGGCACATTCGGTCAGCACGCTCAGCACGGGAGCTACGCTCTCCTTCAGCCTGTGTGTCTGTAGAGGAGCCTCTGTCACCGTGGCTGTGCTCCTGCCTAATTTGAGACTGGCGCAGAGTTACACCCCCCACCGCCCCTTCCCACCAACATACACAGCAGCTGGTCCTGGTGGCACAGGTTTGGGAAGAGGCCCCTCTGCAGTTAGTCAGCAGAAGGCCAAGAGTGGGTGGTGGGTGTCTGTGTCACTTTTGAAAAGGACGGGCACAGAGCTTCACTCAGAGGTACTTGTTGTAAGCTTGGTGACTTGGGAGAAATAACTGCTTTAAGTCTAATTACCTCAACTATAAACCAGGGCTGGGAAGAAAACACAAAGCAATTAAAGCTTTAGACTGGCACACACATTGCCCTCAGATGTTGGTGGCAAAAAGAAACGAGAACCGAATCCCCACTCTGGGTACTTCATGGACAGAGAGCAGGGAGTTCCTGACCCTCCTAGCATAATGTGCCTGGACCCCAGCACCAGCAGTGGCAGCGACAGCGACAGGCACAGACAACCCCCCGGCTGTATGTCCAGTGCCAGCTCCCTACCCTGACTGGCTCTCACGCACCATGTGTGTCCCCTGCTTAGGCAGGTAGATTCCCGAGAGGTCTCCTAAATCTCGGTTTATTGTGCTCCAGCCTGCTTTCTGCAAGCTCCTGGAGGATGGTTAGAGCCCTAGCTATCCAGATGCCCTGTAGTGCAGTCACAGGAATCAGAGGGAAGCTTTGATCTGAGGTTCCTATGGGTCTCCTCAGGATGTTGAGGGACAGCTATGCTTGTAGTCAAGGGCTGCCTGTGTCTGAGAGTTAAAAGCAGGGACTTGGGGGCTTCTCAGGACCACTCAATAAAGATCCACAAAGATTTAAGAAGTGAAACCTTCAAGTGTGTGGAAGGTGTCCACATGCTTCTCATGAAGGAAGGGTCTAGCTTGTTGCCAGGCTGGACCACAGAACAGCCGGAAGAATCGCCTGTATCACACCACCAAGATGATTTCCACTTACCAATGTGGCCAGTGGAGAAGCACTGACCACAGCTGTGCAGGAGAACCAGTGCCAGAGCCACTGGGGGAGCCTGTACAGCCATCCCCAGCCTACCTGGTGCAAACGCTTCTCTAGGAAGATGAGGAGGGCACGAATCACATCCATATTCACTCCCATGAACTCCACGGAGTCTTCGTGTGGCTCCAGGGTGAGGAGAACATCCAGACACTTGAGAGGCAAGTTCCCCAGGAGGTTCACTGCGTGGCTGAGGACAGATGGAGGTGGGGGTCTCAATAGGGCTAATCCCTCAGCACAGATGCAATCTTTGTGCCCCCACTGAACCACACATTACATGAGCTGGCGTCTGAGGCCCAAAGGGGCGGCACTGGGGACCAAAGCCAAGGGCAGGGACTGATCTGAGAGGCACTGCCACTCAGCTGTACAGTGGGGTCCCCTGGGGAAGTGGGGGCTGAGACACCCTGCCTCCCCTACCCTGTCTGGGCCAAAGTGCCAGACCATCTCTGGAAACCACACCAGCCAAGGGGCAGGTGGACCAAGAATGGGGACAAGGAGCCAATGTGCCCTAGTAAATACCACACTGTCTGTTGCCACTACCCAAGGCCCAGGTGGCACATTCTTGCCCCCAAATTCATGGCTGTTGTCCTGGCCACATATTAGAAGCACCCAGTATTCTCTGGAAACACACCGATGTCCAGTCTCACTCATCCAGACAAAGTCAGACCCTCTAGGGTGGGGCCTGGGCTCTCAGGTGGTTCTGGTTCACGGCCAGGGCTGAGGATGACCATCTAAACATGTGGACACACTTCCCTCCCAGAAAAAGCCCCATCCTCACCCATGGAACTCCTCTGTGCGGTCTCCAGCAGTAGCAATCATCACACAGTGCCGGAGAAGGGTCCCCAGGTGTCGGTAAAGAGCAGCGTCTTCCTGACCAAAGAAAGAAGGGTTCCTGTGAGGAGCCCCACTCATCCCACTGCTGCCTGCTGAGGCTCTACTGTCTGTTGCACTCCAGAACTGTGTGGCAATGACTGTGCACCTCCTGTACTGCACACTTGGTCCCCTGGGGTCTCCTAGGTGACTCTGGCTAGTGCTGGGGGCAAAAGATGACCACTGCTGTCTTCCTAAAAACTCCATGAGTATTCTTCTAAGAGCACGTCCCTGATTAGGAATGTTAACACACACCCTTGGGATGAAGTCACACTCTGTCTCAGCCCCACTCACAGCCTCATGGTGGAGGATCTCTTACAGTCTCCCCGGAGAGCACACAGCCCCCTGCCAGGCAGCAAGAGCCAGAAGGGGCCTCTACTTCCCTCAGAATCCTCCCCTAAGGTCCCAGCCCAGAACTGGCATCTCCTTGGCCTTGTCCCAACACGCTGGGAGGTCCTGTTCTCTCCATGTCTGACACCCAGAAACCTGAAGGTACCCAGTGGGAAGCAGGTCCAGGAAATGTTGGAGCTGAGTTGAGACCCATCCATGGGTTGAGGTCAGGGCTCACCTCGTCCACCTCCCCCTTGATGGAGTCGAGGGTGATGTTGAAGAGCACTTTGAGGATCTCCATGGCCCGCTCAGTCTCTTGGGAAGGAAGGAGCTTGGGTGGGTTCCCTTCAGGAGTCACCCCCAGCGTCAGCTCCAGTGTGTCAGTCAGCAGATGCACTCCTTTCAGCTCCTGAAACAGCTGCTGGCGCACATCGGTGCGGAGTGCCGTTAGCAGGAAGAGGAGCCTCAAGTCAAAGAACTGGACATCGTGGGGGAAGCTCCTCTCCCGGTACAGCCCCACACGCTCTGTGAGCTTCACCACTAGGCGGGCCTCTGCTGCCAGCATCTGTGCCACAGGGCTGCTGAGCACGAGGTTGCACAGGCACTTGAGGGACTCCAGTACAACATCCATGTCGGGGGAGTCTGGGACGGACCCCTCAGAGCCAGAGATGTCAGCATAGCAGGCCAGTGCCTGCAGGCTCTGGCGGCTGGTAAACGGGTCCAAGCAGTTGCGGTCCCGGGACAGGATTCGGACACTCTGCAGCCAGGTGACCCGCTGGGAGGGTGGCAAGCCCTGTTCCAGGACGGAGACCAGCAGCTCCGCCAGTCTCTGTGGGCAGGGAGACGAGCGGCTCCACCAGGCCCCTCTTCCTGGGGCCACCCGTCCCTGTCCCTTTACCCCTCGGGCCAGCACCCACCTTCCGGTCCTCCTGTTGAGCATCATCAAACGTGAAGCTCTGGGAGTGCTGCAGAGAGAACGAGTGAATTCAAGTCCACAGAGGGGCAGTATCCGCGCCCGCTGACGGGGGGCGGCCTATTGGCCTCTAACTCAGGCAGCAGCCACTGCTCAGAAGGGGTGGCAGGGTCTACACTCGCCCCCATCCCTACACACCTGCCACCCAACGGGTGCACCCCAGACACTCTCCCCCCAACACTGCATCCCTGACGTGCCACCCCCACCCCGCCGCGTCCCCTCTGCTTGCTGACACAACCCCTGCCTCACCCACACCGTCCCGACCACCCGCGCACGACCCTGCCCCACCCCCTCCGTGCCCGCCCCCCGGCCTCAGGCGGCCGCTCACCTCCTGGTTGTACGACCGCAGAGCTTCCATAATCACATCCTCCTTCCCCGTCTCCACGGCTTCTGCAACCGCCCGGGGCTCCATGGCGCCCCCGGAACCCGGCGCGGGGAAGGCGGGACGGGCCCTTCCTCAACCTTTCCGGGCCGCAGTTCGCCGGCCCCGCCCTGGCCCAGAAAGCCCCGCGCCAGCGCGCGGGGGAGGCCGGGACGGGACGCGGCGTCTGGTGGCGCTTCAAGGGGGCGCGGCCTGAGGCAGCACTGGCGGCTCGGAAGACCCGAGTCGGGCCGAGTCGCCCTGAACCGGACTGATCCCCCTCCTTGTGACCGGGGCTTCTTGGGCCGGAATTTCCAACAGGAAAGGATCTCAGCCCCCACCGCGCCCTGCCACACACACAGTGACGCCCCTCGAGCTCCACAGAACCGATGGGATGTAGACGGGAAAGCCGAAGTGGAAAGGACTTTTCAGTCCCGGGCCATTGGGTTCGTTAGGCGTTTGCTGGGGAATGCAGGCGAACGGGACTCCCAGGCCCCTGCCTTTGTGGAGCTTATGTTCCAGAGGGGAAGGCAGACAAGGAAAAACAAAAGGACATGAGGCGGTCACAGGGCTGTGCTTCAAAAGAAGCAAAAGGTGACTGCTGGGCTGCAAGGGCTGTGAGGAAGTGGTGTTTTTGCTAACACTGGACGATGGGAAGCGAGCCGGGAAAAGACTGGAGGAGCCACTCCAGGCAGAAGGAGCAGCACTTGCAAAGGTGGAAGGGCCGTGAGGGGCCGAGAGAAAGGGGAGCAACGCAGTCTGGCCTGGACTCAGTTCCCTCTTGACAAGCAAAGATCCTGCGTGTCCGTTTCAGTGGCCATCAGGAGGATTCAGTGACGCACAGGAAGCGCGGTCCACTGGCTCTTGTAACAAGTGCCCGGGAGCAAAGGCGTCTACGGCCCCCACTCCCCGTGCCGCCTCCCAGTCTCTTTCCCTGCTTCACTTTCCTGTAGCGCTTTCCGCACACCTGTATTCGACGCGGCGCGCACTCGCAGGCACTAGCGAGGCGCCGATCTCCACTTGACAGAGGAGGCACCCTTGCCCCCTCCACACCCAGGGCTCCTCGCGGGCTTCTGCCCGAGGGGCCTACTCCTCCCTCATGACCCGCCTGTGAATCCTTCCTAACCGTTAGGACCTAACGCATGGCAGCGTCTTTCCACCACCATCGTCTTGGCACTGAGCAAGCAAACGGCCCCGCCCCGCCCCACGTTCACAGGAACAACAAACAAACGTCACATCCGCGGTGCTGCTGTAATCCCAGCACCTTGGGAGCCCGGCAGGCGGGGGCTGCAGTGAGCTGAGATCGCGCCACTGCCTGGGCGACAGTGCTGAAAATAAGTCACAGCGACGCCCATCGCTTCCGCGACCCCGCGGTTCCCCACCCTCGGGCCTAAGCCGGAAATCAGCGAGCCCGACGCGGAAGCGGCTGGGCCATCTAGGGGCGTGGTTGGCGCGGAGGCGGGGCCATCGCTGGCGGGGGGCGGGGCCGGAAGCCCGTTCCCCGTGACTGCGCCACGTCTGAGGCGGCTGTGGCCGCGTCGGTGTTGGCGTCGAGGAGCCGGGGCAGGGCACGATGGCGGACTGGGCTCGGGGTGAGCGCGGGAGAGCGGAGCCGTTGGGGGCAGGGCCGGGCCGGAACCGACGCCGCTGCCTGTAGAGCCGCGTGCGCCTGCCTCTGGCCTCGGCGGGGAGGACCCTGTCAGGGGGGCGGATTCGGATCCTTCCGGGTCCCAGCAGGGCCGGGTTTCGGCCAGCACTGCCGCTAGGAAGGACGGCGGGCGGGGCGGCCCAGCAGCTCCAGCGAGGGCTCGCGCAGCTGCGGGGTCCCCCCACTCCCCGCCGCTCCCTGTGAGATCGTTTTGCATGGGTTCAGGGTGAGCGGGAGTCTCGGCATTCGACAGGTCCCGAGGCCAGGCCTTCGGAGTAGGCTGTGCTCCGCTGGTGTCCAGGCAGGCCTCTGCTAACTAACTTGGGCCTCGGTGGCCCCATTTCCCCTCCTGGAGCCCGTGTTCTTCTCTGCAAAGTGGGATATTGATGCCTGTCTGAGTTATGATGAGTAAAGGAATTAATGAACAGGAAGTGGTTGGAAGGACGCTGGCATCCCTTCCTTAACGTTGAAGCTAGGGAGAAGGTGGTTCTCACCCACCTGAGGTGACAGAAATTCCTTATCACCTGGCCCAGCCTGTCACAGGCCGGGCCTCTGCAAGCGCTGTGCCCTGGGTGTTGCAGGAAGCCCTGTGTGGGATGCAGACCAGGGATCACGCTCCTGGTCGACCTCAGCTCCCATCTCGCGGAATTGGGAACTTTGCTCAGCTGTTTTCTGTGCGGTAAAGGGCCTTCCCAATGTTCTGTCCTGGTTCCTTGCCACCTCTTCAGGACCCAGCTCAAAGGTCGTCCCTGCAGGAGCCTTTCTGCTGCCCTGCTGGGTACTTTTCCCAAGTCTTTCCTATGCTCTTAGCAGAGTTTACTCTTTTTCTATAAGAATGGGCTCCACATACACAGATGGCGACCTCCCTGGATGCAAGTGTCACATCTTATTAACATCCCAGAGCTGGGCCCAGTTTTTGCTACACAGTCTCAGAAGGTGCTGGTTGGACTGAACCCATTGTGGGTGCTGGCCCATCCCCACCTGGATGTGTACACAGGACACGTGTTCACATGACAGGCCCTTGCACACATTGTCCTTTATGCAGTCTCTCTCACATGTGCAGGATTCACCTGCTGGAACCTAGGTTAGGGCCCCTAGATTTCTGACTCACCCAGTTGTGGTTGGAGTGAGAGGGGTCAGAGGCCTCGCTCCCCGATGGATGCAATCACTCAGCCCCTCTCTTTTCTCAGCTCAGAGCCCGGGCGCTGTGGAAGAGATTCTAGACCGGGAGAACAAGCGAATGGCCGACAGCCTGGCCTCCAAAGTCACCAGGCTCAAATCGGTCAGTGGTGGTCTGTCCTCTTACCTCCACCTGGTGCCCTTGGGGAATGGGGATCAGAGGGAAGGTAGAGGGCCCAGAGGAGTTTCAGGCAGTTTGCCGTCCTCCTCGTTCGATTCGTGGCTGTGCTCACCTGCATGAGGCCCCAGCTGACACCTGGACCTTCCTGCTGCTGCCCCACTGTGTCTGGCAGAGTTGTTGGCAGGGTTTGTCTGGTCTGGGAAGGGTGAGTGCTGTATTATGTGTCTGCTCTGGCCCAACCCTGCCCTCTCTGTGTGCTGAACAGCTCGCCCTGGACATCGATAGGGATGCAGAGGATCAGAACCGGTACCTGGATGGCATGGTAAGGGCCCACGGTGTGCGCGAATCAGTGCCCTGCCCCCAGCACTACCTGCTACAGAGCTTGCAGTGTCTCCTTCAGCACTGGTGCGGGTGGGTGGTCAAATCACCACTTCTGTGTGATCTTGCCGGGATTCTTCCCTTAGGACTCGGATTTCACAAGCATGACCGGCCTGCTTACAGGGAGTGTGAAGCGCTTTTCCGCAATGGCAAGGTCCGGACGAGACAACCGGAAGCTTCTATGTGGCATGGCTGTGGGTCTGATTGTGGCCTTCTTCATCCTCTCCTACTTCTTGTCGAGGGCAAGGACGTGAGACAGTGGGAGCTGGTGTCTGTGGGTGCCAAGGGCAGCCATTGTCTTCCCTGCCTGGCATCTTGGGCTCCAGAGGACTTACCTGCAAAGTACTCCTTTGAAATTATAATCGTGGGCCAGGAATCCTTTCTGTGTGGCAGGAGGCTGCGGCTGCCTGTGACCTGATGAGCTCATGTTGGCTGGTCCCATGTGTGGAAGGGACTCTTTCGGGGAAACCAAGGCCCAGCCCCTCCCCCCTTCCCCAGATGCTAGAGACACAAGCAGAGCTGGGGCCGCAGCGTGTCTGGAGGAGCCAGGTCTGAGCAGAGCAACTGTTGAATCCCAGGCGTGGCCACCTGTGGCCTGCAGCCTTTCTCCCAGCTCTTGGGACGCTGACATCTGAAGGCTCCACGGTCGTGTCCTTGTCTGGATGAGGCCATGTCTGTGATCCAAGGTTCCTGGAACTGACACAGGAAGGGGCTGTGAACCCTAAGTGGGTGCTATCTCCTCCAACTGAGGCTTCTCAGCCTGGAGATGGCAGTTACTCCTGGCCATGGTTGCTGAGCACAGGAGACCAGTGCGGGCCACCCTGCTGTGAGTTCTCTGTGCCTACTCTCCAGTCCTGCGGATGAAGTGAGACCCCTGGGGAGAACGGGTTGTGGATGAAGGAGTGGACTGCAGCCTTGGCCTAGCCACTGGGTGGGATCCTTCTGGGTCCTGTGACTGTGTATCCAGGAGCAGAAACTTGTATTCTCAGGATTCAGAATCTACCCAGCACCAGAGATGTGTTTTCAGAAGAACAGACCTAGAAATGGGCCTCTCTGGCATTTCAGAGTCAGGCAAAGCAGGCAGGGCCGGGGAGCCATTGTGGGTCTACACAAGAAGGTTCCTGAGAGGCTATCAGTTGTTGCCATCTAGCTTGCTGGTAACTCTGGCGCCTCTGCCAAGCCCTGCCAGACTCCTCTGGCTGTGATGGCGTTCTGTGCCATCCTCCTTGTCCCCAGCCTCTGCAGGATACCCTCCCTACCCACCTCTCCCTGGGCCTTCCCTGTCCACTGGGCTGGGCTCATGTTCAAACAACTAGACTGGCAGGGCAACGGCTTTTCCCCACCCCAAGATGAGGTCCTTGCCCCCTTGGCCTAAAAACACCTTTAAAGCTCTGTGCCCTTCTCTGTCCTGTTCCAATCTTCTGCCTCCCAGTCATTCCCTGGGGACTATGGGATCACTGTCCCGCAACCTGTGTGGCCACACTGTGTGTCCTGTCAATCCAGAACTGCCTCTGAGCTCCAGGCTGACCACAGATGAGCCACAGCCTGGTACCTGCAGCCCCACTTTGCTCACCCTTCCCCTCCCCTCCTTCTTCCTTCCACACAGCAAGCCCACCTTTCTCCATGCACGCTCACCATAGCCCCCTTCCTTGTTACCTGAGCCCTCCTTTGTACCTGGCTGAGGCTGTCAGCCTCCTGGAGGAGTGGGGTCCACCGTCTTCCCCTATGCAGTGCGAGCTCACTTCTCACCCAGCAAGGTGGACTCACTTGCCTCCATGTCTCTGGGGCTTTGCTGTTGCCCTGAAACCTAGCTGGGCTGGTCTTGCTCCCAGCTTGCTTCCCCCTTCTCGGATGTCCCTTTGCAGGCGCCTGTCGTTCCTCAGGCACCAGTGTGCTTGTCTGCCACGGCGAGCTCGTCAGGGGCTTGTACCCTGGTCTCCAAGCATGGTAGCAGCTGCCTGCGTTGGGTCTCCATCTGGTCACTGCAGGTGCCAACCCTTTATCTCCCATATTTTCCTGGGCCATGGAGGGCTGACCTCCATTTTGGGGAATGTGGTTGAGCTGTGGTAACCAGCTATACCCCAGGTGCCCTTCCCATGGTGGTACCCGCCCACCTTGCTGATGTGAACTAGGAAGTTAGGCTGCATCTCGGACTGGCCTTCGCTGGAGAGGTGCTTTGCTGTCTCGGAGTCTCAGTCACTGTGTTCCCTCCCCACCTGTCTCCATGGCTGTTAGCAGCCCTCCCAGGTAATTTGGGGTCTAGGCTGGACTTCCTTTGTGGTTTGCTTTTCTGCTTCTCACTCTTGTTGTATTTTTTTTTTTTTTTTTTTGAGACGGAGTCTCGCTCTGCCACCCAGGCTGGAGTGCAGTGGCTGGATCTCAGCTCACTGCAAGCTCCGCCTCCCGGGTTCACGCCATTCTCCTGCCTCAGCCTCCCGAGTAGCTGGGACTACAGGCGCCCACCACCTCGCCCGGCTAGTTTTTTGTATTTTTTAGTAGAGACAGGGTTTCACCGTGTCAGCCAGGATGGTCTCGATCTCCTGACCTCGTGATCCGCCTGTCTCGGCCTCCCAAAGTGCTGGGATTACAGGCTTGAGCCACCACGCCCGGCCTCTTGTTGTATTAAGAAGGATTCCATAAAGGGAGAGTGGCAACCCTGCTGCTGCTGTGCCTGACCAGAGTTCTTGAGGGGCCCTGACCCTAACCCTCCAGCTCAGCCCTGTGCACCTGACCCTGTAAATGAGTGGGGTTTGCTGACTATAATCCCTGACACCAGTAAAACCAAAAGGAGTCTTGGGGGCTCAGTATGAGAGCCAGGGTTACACACTCTGCCAAGTAAGGACAAACTGCTAGGCTGTATCCCATAATTTCAGGATGAGAAACGTTAATAAAATTTTGTGGTACACATAACCTCATTAAGAACTAATCACGTGGTCTCTGTTGTCCTGATTTCCTTGGGATTTGAGGGAATTTTGTCTGCAGCTCACCCTGGTCCATAGGCTGGCCATGGGCACTGGTGCTGTAAACCCTGTCCCTTATTCACCCCCTCAGGATTGACTGGGCAGAGCAGCCACAGACTCACCTGAAAGGGGCCTGCCCTCCACACCTGTGGGTATTTCTCGTCAGGTGGGACGAGAGACTGAGGAAAGAAAGAAGACACAGAGACAAAGTATAGAGAAAGAACAGTGGGACCAGGGGACTGGCACACTCAGCATGCGAGGACCTGCACCGGCGGCGGTCTCCGAGTTCCTTCAGTGTTTATTGATTACTATTTTCACTATCTCGGCAAGGAGAGTGAGGCAGGAGAACAGGGTGAACAGAGTGATGGTGGGGAGAAGGTCAGCAGGAAAACCTGTGAGTAAAGGAATATGCATCATAAATAAGTTCAGGTACTGTGCCTGGATGTGCATGTAGGCTAGATTTAGGCTTCTCTTTACCCAAGCATCTTAGTGTAGCAAAGGGTAACAGAGCAGTATCACCACCAGCATATTTCGCTTCTAGCCACGGGGCAGTTTTCTCCTACCTTAGAATAAACGAATAGTTGGCTTTACACCGAGACATTCTGTTCCCAGGGACGTGGGAAACAGGCCTTCCTCTTTTACGAATCCTCCTCAGCACAGACCCTTTACGGGTGTCGGGCTGGGGGACAGTAAGGCCTTCCCTTGCCAGGAGGCCATATCTCAGGCTGTCTCAGTTGGGGGAATCCTTGGACAATACCCAGGCGCTCTCGGGCGGAGGTGCCTGCGGCTTTCCGCAGTGCAGTATGTCCCTGGTTAATAGAGAATGGAGAATGGTGATGACTGTTACCAAGCATGCATCCTGCACAGCCCTAAATCCCTTAAACCTTGATTCCATACAGCACATGTCTCTGTGAGCACAGGATTGGGGCTAACGTTACAGATTAATAGCATCTCAAAGCAGAACAATTTTTCTTTGTACAGATCAAAATGGAGTTTCTTTTGTCTTCCTTTTCTACGTAGACACAGTAAATCTGATCTCTCTTCCTTTGCCCCACACTTACCCACTTCCTGCTGTGTTACCTTTCCCTGCCCAAGTTCCTGAAACGCAGATGGGGTTCCTGATAGCATCACCACTTAGGGAATAAGGGAGGAGGCCGGGCGCAGTGGCTCATGCCTGTGAGCTCAACACTTTGGGAGGTCAAGGTGGGTGAATCACAAGGTCAGGAGTTCGAGACCAGCCTGACCAACATAGTGAAACCCCATCTCTACTAGAAATAGGAAAATTAGCCGGGTGTGGTGGCACGTGCCTGTAGTCCCAGCTACTCAGGAGGCTGAGGCAGGAGAATCACTTGAACCTGGAAGACGGAGGTTGCAGTGAGCTGCAGTGAGCTGAGATTGCGCCATTGCACTCCAGCCTGGGTGACAGAGCGAGACTCCGTCTCAAAAAAAAAAAAAAAAAAGTAAACATAAAGTGCTTCGAATCCACAGCCTGGCATGATCACAGCTAAGTGAGGGTCAGCAGCTGTATTGTGCTTTATACAGGTGCGGGTGATGGTCCTACCAGTGTGTCTGTCAAGGTCACCTGTCCTAAAATGACCTCCCTGAAAGGCTGAGTTGAAATCCAGCCTCTACTTCTTGAGGCTTGGCCTTGAACTCCTGGACAGCCTCTGGAGATCCCCCTCTTCAGGCTCAGCGGACACCCCACCTTCCCTGTCCACGTATTCCTTGTACTCCCTGTATTACCCATTGATGTGTAACAGGTCACCCTAAAGCTTCACTTAAAATAGCAATGATTTATCGTGTCTCATTGGATTGGAGACGGGGTACTGCCTCAGGGTTGGCCGTCTTTGCTCTATCATGTCGAGGCCTCACTGGGAGATGTGGTCCTGGGGCTGCCTTCACTTGAAGGCTCACTCACAGGTCCAGAGGTCAGTGCTGGTGAGTGGAGGGCCTGGCCGGCCTGAATGCCTGTGGCCGGGCTGAGTGCCCAGATGAAGCATTCAGTCTCACCATGGTTGGGCTTCCTCACAACATGATGGCTGGTGCTGGAGCAAACATGGACACGTGGCAGAAGGGTGGGGGTAGGGTGGGCTCTGGTGTCCAGGCAGAAGCTGTTTCCTTGGCATGTTGTATGCCTGGCCTCAGAAGCCTGGTGGCATCACTTCTGCCTCTTTATTCAGGAGACCCACAGGCTGCAGCGTCTTTGAGTTCAAGGCAGAAAGCATCAGGAGGGACAGTGTGGAGCAGGGTGTCCGAGGCACTCAGGCGCTCCCATCTCTCCCCACACAGACCCTGGGCCCTCCCATCTCTCCAAGCTGACCCTGGGCCCTAGAAGCCAGGATGGGACCCATGTGAGCTGACAGCGCATGGGACTCCTTTCTGGAAAAGCCTGATCTTTTCACCAAGACAAACCTCATTAATGCAATGTGATTTATTAAATACTTTCGGCACAGCAGAAAACAAGATTAACATATGGTAAAATAGCATAGAAAAAAAGTAACTGGTTACAGTTGCCCAAACAAGCGTGCTCTGCCCTGCAGGGCCAGGCTGGCCCAGCCCAGCTGGTGAAGACAGCCTCGAGCTCTGTGGCCTGGTGGATCTCTTGTGCAGACGCTGGGCGTGATGCAGCTACTCCACATCAACCACCAGGGGAATCATGTAGTCAGAGTGTTTGATGCCAAAGGTGACAACTGGGGCGCAGGGCTTGGTCAGGGTCACCTGGGAGAGGAGGGGCTATGATAAGAGCCAGCACCCCTGCCCCCACCTGCAGGTCTCTGCCCTGGCTGGGGCTGGGCTGCTGTCCTTCCGGAACCTGGGGCCAAGGTGGCCAGCAGCTGTGCTCCCAGTTTGAACACAGAGGACTCAGCAGTAGTAGCTGTCACGGTGTCTAGGGAAAAGGGCAAGGCCTCTGCTTCCTGTCCCTGAAGGGTTACCTGTGGGGCTAGTGCTGGAAGTACAGGGTCCTCAGGGTGCAGGTGCCTCCCCTCCCCACCCACCCCTCCACCCCCTCTTGGCTGTGTCCTTCCATAGCCCAACGCTGTTTCCCCTTGTCTGTGTCCCAACCCCCCTCCCCTGCTCTTTCCTACATGTTCCTCTGGGTCAGGCCCCCGACCCCACCCTGACCCCTCTGAGCTGTGCTCTTCCTGGACCTTCTCAGGGCTGTGGGCGCCTGGTCCTGGCTTGAGGGTCTTGTCCCCTGGGGGCTCTACACGGGCAGCCATGGTGTACTGCGGAGCCTTGAACTTGGTCACCTGCACGTCAGTCTGGTGGTAGGCTGCGGGACCTGGGGTCTGAGAGGTAAAGGAGGCTCAGACAAACTCGGCCTACCCAGGGCGCATGGCCCTAGAGGACAGGGAGCAAACTTGGACGGAGGGTTTCAGGCTGAGTCAACAGGGTCAGCTACAAGTTGGTGCCCGTGCATCAAGGTCCCCTTCTGTCTTCTGTCACACTGTGGAGACCACACCCCCCTGCTTGTGGGGCACCTTCTCATGTGGGGGTCGCTTCCTCCATTTCAGCCTCACGCTGGCAATGACCTCCCCCGTGTGTGCCAGTCCTGGGAACATCCCTGAGCCTGTGTGAGAGAGGCTGTCGCTGCCCCGCTGGACCTGAGGGCCTGGGGCTGGCAAAACCAACGTGGACAAGGGCTGCTGGGTGCCACGATGCTGCTTTCCCATCTCAGGCCCCTCAAGCTCTCAGGCATGTGCCACCCAGGGCCTTCGCACTGGCTGTTTCTGAAACCAAGACCCTCCTCCCGCAAACAGCTCATGGTTTATTTTTTCCTCCTCCCCTTCTTTCTTGCCATCCTGTCTAAGATTGCCTCTCTCTCTCCAGGCAGTGCTTCATAAACCCCATCTCTTGTCCTCAGCACTGTCCAAGCTGGGGCCTGGGCCTCTCCCTTCTGGCCTATTGCCTGCCCCTCCTCAGCACTGCAGCATGACCCCAGCATGTGGCAGGCACCCAGAGGATGAAGGGCTGAGAGGGCTGAGGGGCATTGGCAAGGCAGGGCCGAGCTGGTGAGTCCTGGGTTCTGGGGGAGGGTTCAGATGACTGGGGGTGATTCTCCGTTCTCAGCTGGGGTGACCCTTGCCTTGTGTAGGTCGTCGCTGAAGCTGCCCAGCTTGCTGCGGCCCTTGATGGAAAAGGAGGGCTGGGAGACCTTGCCGACGGTGTTGGGCCCCATCACCATGGGCAGCATGTACGCAGCGGGGCCTGCAGGGTGGACGGGAGCCTCAGGGTGGAACAGGGCCCACCGCTCCCTCCCTGGGGCTCCCCCAACTCTGGACGGGAGCCTCAGGCCGGAACAGGGCCCACAGCTCCTTCCCTGGGTTCCCCCAACTCTGGAGATCAGCCGTCAGGCTGCCCCATCTCACCCACCCCACCCAGGATCCACAGGTCCATTTGGCTGAGGATGGTTGGGGCTGCTGCAGACCTGGGGTGCTGTCCACTCGGAACGTCTTTGTTCGGGCGGAGATGGAGTGGCTGGGCGCTGAGTCAAACACGTACTTGGTGGATTTCTCTGGAAAGTAGTCACCTGGACAAGGAGCCAAGGGGGTTTCTGGGACAAGCAGGTGGGTATGCAGCCCAGTTTGGGGGCTCGAGGACTCCCCAACATTCCTGGCATTGGGCCCCTGGGCTCCAACACAGGTGGTGACCAAGTCTGGTCAGGGGGTGTCCAGGATGGAAATACTGACTTCGGGGCTGGGGAGACAAGGGCCATTTTTGAGCAGGGAGAGTGGGGTCTGACGTTGGCCTGGCAGAGAAAGGTCCAGGTCGAAGCTGGGTTCTAGGGCCAGAGTCTTCTCTGCCCAGGTGTGATGGTGGCCCTTCAAGAGAGAAAGATGGGACAGGAGGAGCCTGGACGGCTGAGCTCTCTCACACCCTTGCTGCCATGAGGTTAGGGTCACCCAGCAGGGAGGGGCAGGCCCGGGGCTGCGCAGGGCAGGAGCCTGAGACAGGGTCACTAACCTGGGCCGGGGGTCAGCAGAGTCTTGCTGTGGTAGCGCCCCAGGATGGAGTAGGCAGGGCCAAGGTCCTTGCCAGTCCTCAGTATCTTGGGGTTTACATTATAACGGGGTCCTGGGGAGCAGTTCTCTGCCAGGAGCATGGGGGCCCCGCGGAAGCTGTAGGCTGGCGCACGGAGCTTGGTGGGCGTGTGCTTCACGAAGCCTGTGGACACAGTGGGCCCTGAGCAGCCTGGACCTGCCCTTCTCCCCGCGGGGAGTCAGGGATCAAGCCCCAGGCCCTTCCCGGCCCCCCCACCTGCCCGCCTGGCTCCTGACCCTCCCAGGCTCTCAGGCTCTTACCAGTTGTTGGTGGAATCAGGTACTTGGGTCCAGGGCTGCTGTAGAGGGCCATGATGGGTCCCCGGGGGCGATGGGGCCTCCAGGTGCCCATCCATACCTCCTCCGTCATGGCCAGCTCTGTCCATAAGTGAGAGGCTTACCAGGTGCTGGGAGGCCCGACCCTGTCCCAGGCCGGCCCCTGATGCCCCCGTCCCTGCTCTTGCTGACACTGAGGGGTAGACCTGCTGAACCTGCCACAGCGTCCTCAGTGGGGATCTCCAGCTGGGAGCCAGGAGTAAGGGATGGTAGGCGCTTTCTGCATGGGACTGTGAGCTCCTCACCAGCTTAACTGTATCCCAGAGCTACTGTCCATGCTGGCCCTCAACTCACCACCGTTTTCGGCTCTAAGGGAGCCCTGGGCGGGTTTCTCCTACTTAGAGTGGTGATCAAAGACGGGGAACTTCTTGATTGAGGCTGTGCTGAGGGGCAGGGAGGGGGCCCCCCAGGAGGGAACTATAACTTCTTTGGCGCAGGGACAGCACTCAGAGCAGCCTACGGACCCATCCTCCTCAGAGACCGTCCTGTCCCCCCTGGCCTTGGTGCCAGGGAGTTCCTGCAAAAGGAGCATGGAGAGAAAGGCCTTCTCTCTTCAGGGGCTTACAGAATTGGGGAGAGGTCCCCCAGTCTAAACTCTAGAATGTGGCTCTGTGGGATGACGGGTTCTAGATTCTGTCTGTGTGACCAAGACAATGGCCTCTGCCTTTGATCCCCTCACCAGATCTCACCACCAGGTCCCCTCACCAGGTTCCACCAACAGGACACCCCTATAAGTCCCCCTGACCAGGTTCCCCTCACCAGGCCTCCCACCACCATGTCCACTCACCAGGTCCTCCTCGCCAGGTTTCCTTGGCCTTGTCCCCTCACCAGGTTCCCCTCACCATGTCCCCTCACCAGGTTCCCCTCACCACGTCCCCTCACCAGGTTCCCCTCACCACATCCCCTCACCAGGTTCCCCTCACCACGTCCCCTCACCAGGTACTCCTCGCCAGGTCCCCTCACCAAGTCCTCCTCGCCATGTTTCCTTGGCCACGTCCCCTCACCAGGTACTCCTTGCCACGTCCCCTCACCAAGGCCCCCCCATGTCCCCTCACCAGATTCCCCTAAGTTCCCTCACCAGACCACCCCTCACCAGGCCCCCTCACCGTGTTTCTCTCACCAGGTCCCCTCAACCAGGCGTCTCCTCATGAAGTCCCCCTCACTGGGTCCCCTCACCAGGTCCCCTGTAACCAAGTCCTCCAGGGCCCCCTCCTAGGGCTTCGTCAGCCAAATGGAAATCCAGGCAGAGACCATCTAGGCAGGTGGACAGAGCACAGAGCCAGACAGCACCGCGTGGCCTCCTGGCCAGGCTCAGACAGGACAGAGGTGTGGAGAGGGGGTCAGGGCAGTGAAGTTTCAGGGCTCAGCACCCAGGGTGGCCAAGGATGTGTCAGTTCCACTCAGCTGTGCCCCCAGAAGAGACGATAGATTGGGAAACTGAGGTGCTGGAAGGTTCTGGCTGTGGGAGAGCCTGGGATCCAGGGTCAGGATTAGGGTCTGTGCTGGTTGTGGTGGGCGTGAGTCATTGTGGGCGCTGCTGCTGCCCTGGCTGACCTCGTCAGAGGCTGCTCACCTGTGGCTCCCATCCCCCTTGGACGGGTGTACCTTTTTTTCTCTCGGCCTTGTCGGGGGTCGTCTTGGGGCTTGAGCTCCTCCCAGTGTCTTCTAGGCAGACTCTTTCCTTGGACGACTTTGGGAAGAGAGATTGTTCTCAAACCCGCTGGACCTGGGCTGCCTGTGTGACTGTTTTTTGCACACAGCTATTGTCTTACGACACCAGCTTTCAGATGCTGAGCAACCCCCGCCCTGACCTAGCCCATGGGCGACATGGGGTCTGTGTCCACCCAGTCCTGGACACTTCCTTTTTCTGGGGCTCCCTGTCTCTCCCACATCATACTGCTGCCTCTGCCGCCCGTCTCCCTCTGGACGCCCTCTGTCCACATGGTGCTGTCTGGCTCTGTGCTCTGTCCCCCTGCCTACATGGCGTCTGCCTGGATTTCCATTTTGGGTCTTGCCTGTGGTGTGCCTGCTCCTGTGTGGACCCTGTGTGCCCCTCTGTAGAGGACCTTCACACATGTGCTCCTTGAGCAGGACCCTCTGTCTGTGGGTCTGTGTGTGTGGCTGTGTCCCTGAGTGTGTTCTCAATGTCCCCATTTGTGTGTCCGTCTGTGGGGGGAGAGAGAGGAACCAGAGCCTGAGCTGCGGAAGGCTTTATTGATTACACGGTTTGAGGGTAAATTTCCATGTGGGGAGGTGGTAGTGGGCGGCGTGTCCATGGCTGCTTGTGTGGCAGGTCCTATGGCTGAGCCATGTCTGAGGTCCACTTAGGCACCGTCCTGACTGCCCAGCACATGCACCTGGAAGGCAGACACACGCGGACTAAGAGGGCTGTGATCAATAAGCGGAGAGCCACAGCTCCATCAGGCAAGCAAGGCCCTCTGTGGGGGGATCTGGCATATTGCTGCCCATCTCCTCCCAGCAGCTGAGTGGTGTGTGTGCATGCATGATGGTGTACACACATGTATGTGTGTGCGTATCCCAGTGTGAGCATGCGTGTGTGAATGTGTTTATACATGTGTGCACGCAGTGTGCATTGCATGTCTGCACCTGTGTTTGGATCTCTGTGTATGTTCACATGTGTGCGTGGAGGAGTAGCCCACAGACTGGGGAGGAGCAGGTCAATGGAGTCTGGGGGCCGCTCTGTGGACAGGAGGTCTGGGGTGCCCACCTGAGCTGGCTGATGCGGGTTCAATGTCTGTGGGTGGTGTGATGTCTGTAGGTGGTAGGCTGTGGGGGTGCTGTGTTGGGTGATCTTGGTAAGGCTGCAGGTCTTTAGAAAACGGTGTGCCCCCCCCGCCCTCATACCAGCAACTTGATCAGCTCTGCCTTGTGCATTGGCTGCAGGCCGTCTATGCAGGACTTGAGTTCAGTCATTGCTGCCTTGGCATCTTCGTTGACATTGTACTTGCCCAGGGGCCCCTCATAGAGCTCCTCTGGGGTCCCCACCAGTAGTGTTTGCAGGAAGTCCATGAAAAACTCATTGCAGTCCTCCCCTGTGGCCAGCCCTGCATCACGAGCGAGATGATGCCAAGACAGGACAGGGTGACTCCGGTGCAACCACAGCCCCGGACCTGCCCCAGGGCTCCAACCTCCATGGTCTCCAGACCTTCCCCTTCAATGCCCACCCCTCCTCCCCAGGGCTTCCTCCACAACACCCCCAACTCCACCTTGCCCGAAGACCCCTTCACATCCCCCTTAATCTTAGCTGCTCCAGTTTCCACTCAGCATTCCCTGGGATCACCAGGGAAGGAAAGTTAAGCCCCTGGTGTGGGGGAATTTCCCCTGATGAGAAGCTGGTCTGACCAGGGGCTTGAAGGGCCAGGTCAGGCTGGATGGGGCTGGGGTAGGGTCAGCTGGGCTTTGTCTTCGGTTGGGGTGAAGTTGGGTGGGCACGGGTTCTGCAGGGTCCTTACCCACTTCTGTGACAGGTGCAGGTGGAATGTTCACTGCGGGGGCCTAATGCCAGGATTTTACCTTCTCGGGTACCCCCAACCCCCCTGCCCCTGAATGTTCTGGAAACCCAGTGGCACAGACTCACGGCAGATGCAGAACAGGGTGAGGGCCACCAGCAGGAGGGCACGGCTCCCCTTCATGCCAGCAATCTCAGGAGCTGCCTCCAGCCAGAATCCCGGGTTTTTATGCCTCACCGGGCAGCACCTCTCCCACAGGGCGGACCAGACCTGCCCATTACGATCTGGCAGCCAGCTCAGATGAGGTTTATTCACATCCCTGTCTCCCAGTGGGTGCCAAGCAGCAACAGGCATGGGGTGGCTGTGTGACAGGTGGTTGGCAAGTGGCTTTAGGGTGTGTCAGAGAGAACAGGTGTGTTAGGAGGGAACGCTGGTGAGGGAGGCCATGCCAGCCGGTCGGTGAAGAAGGCAGCGGGTCCTGGTCACCAAGGGCCTCTAGTCATGCCTGCCCTTGAGGCCGAGGGTGGTGGGATCTGGGCTTGGTCCCATGCCTTTCTTTTGAGGTAGGAATCCCTCCTCTTATCACTGTGCTGTGTGATCAGGGTTTGCATCTGGAGGTCTCTAATCAGGCAGGGCCCCCTCAGTACTCAGATGGGGGTGGCTGACTGGGGGAAGGGGGTGCAGGCTGCACCAGTGGACACTGCCGTAGGACTGCCCGGGGACTGTGGATCTATGGGGTGAGGAGCAGCCCAGTGGCAGTGCCTAGAAGAGAGAAGGTGGCCTGAGAGGATCCGAGAGACATAGAGCTGGCCATGCCGGGGCCAGGTCTGAGCAGGAGGTGAGGAATGGGAGAGGCTGGAGGTACATCAGTAGCCAGGACAGCAAGGAGAGGTCGAAGGCCCTGGGGAGATGGTCCCAGGACATATTACAATGGACACAGGAGGTTGGGACACCTGGAGTCACCTAACAAAACCACCCCAAGAGAGGCCATGAGTAGGGGTTTCCCAGTCCAGTCCTCTGGCTGAGCCACACGGTCCAAATACAAAGGGCCCCTGCTGCCACCTGGTGGCTGATGGCGTCCCCAGGATCCCGGGCCACTTGCGTTTAGGGTCTCTGGAAGACCAAGGTCCTTGTTACAGTGAAGGACTCCTAAATGAGCAGAGATTTACACCTACTCCAAACAATGAAATAAAATCCCATCGTGGACAAAGTATGCGGGATGGAAATAAGGCTAGGGTAAGGGTTAGGATGAGGATTATGGTTATGGTAAGGGGTTAAGGGTTAGGGCTCAGCATTGGTTAGGAGTTAGGGATACAGTAGGGCTGGGTTAGGGTTAGGGTTTGGATTAGGGTTCAGGATCGGGTCGGGTTCGGGTCAGGGTCGGGTCGGGTCAGGTTCAGGTCAGGTCAGGGTCGGGTTGGGTCAGGGTCAGGGTTAGGGTTAGGGGTAAGGTCAGGGTCAGGGTTAGGGGTAAGGTCAGGGTCAGGGTTAGGGGTAGGGGTAGGGTTAGGTGTAGGGTTAGGTGTAGGGCTAGGGGTAGGGTTAGGGTTATGGGTTAGGGTCAGGGTTAGGGTCAGGGTCAGGGTTAGGGGTAAGGTCAGGGTCAGGGTTAGGGGTAAGGTCAGGGTCAGGGTTAGGGGTAGGGGTAGGGTTAGGTGTAGGGTTAGGTGTAGGGCTAGGGGTAGGGTTAGGGTTATGGGTTAGGGTCAGGGTTAGGGTCAGGGTCAGGGTTAGGGGTAAGGTCAGGGTCAGGGTGAGGTCTGGGTCAGGGTTAGGGTCAGGGTCAGGGTTCGGGTCGGGATCAGGTTAGGTTTTGGGTTCAGGTTCGGGATCGGGTTAGGTTTCGGATTCGGGTTAGGGTTAGGGTTAGGGTTCTGGTTAGAGTTGGGGTTAAGGGTTAGGGTTCGGATTGGGGTTGGGGTTCGGGTTCGGGTTCAGGTTGGGGTTGAGGTTCGGGTTGGGGTTCGTGTTCGGTTTGGGGTCAGGGTTCGGGTTGGGGTCAGGGTCAGGGTTAGGGTCTGGGTCAGGGTCAGGGTCAGGGTCCGGGTTAGGGTCCGGGTCAGGGTCCGGGTCAGGGTCAGGGTCTAGGTCCGTGTCAGGGTCAGGGTCAAGGGTCAGGGTCATGGGTCAGGGTCAGGAGTTAGGGTCTGGGTCCGAGTCCGGGTTTGGGTTCGGGTTCGGGTTCGGTTTAGGGTTAGAGTTGGGGTTAGGGTTTAGGGTTAGGGTTGGGGTTGGAGTTAGGGTTGGGTTAGGGTTAAGTTTGGGATTGGGGTTGGGGTTGTGGTTAGGGTTAAGGTTAGGGTTAGCAAATTTCTCAACTTGTTGACCGTTGTTATTAACTGAGCGGGAATTAGGAGAGGAGCCTGGTCTCTCCACACGCTCAGCAGGTACCCGCCCACGTTCCTGTGGATAACAGCGGTTCCTGTAGGGCCGACAGGGTGGACCAAGTAGCTGTGAAATTTCTTCTGAAGAAAACGCACAGGAGGACGCAGTGAGCTCAGTGGAGGAGGGGACTACCCCAGGGGACATCCACATACATGGACTTGTGAACCCCGAATATCTGAGATGTCTCAGTCAATTTGGAAAGTTTATTTTGCCAAGGTTGAGGACGCACGCCGTGACACAGCCTCGGAAGTTTGACGACATGTGCCCAACGTGGTCGGGACACACTTGGTTTTATACATTTTAGGGAGACAGGAGACATCAATATATGTAAGATGAACGTTGGTTTCGTCGGGAAAGGTGGGACAACTCGAAGCAGGGAGGGGGATTCCAGGTCACAGGTAGGTGAGAGACAAACTGTTGTATTCTTTTGGGTTTCTGAATAGCCTCCCCAAAGGAGGCCATCAGATATGCACTTATCTCAGTGAGCAGAGGGGTGACTTTGAATAGAAGGGGAGGCAGGTTTGCCCTAAGCAGTTCCCAGCTTTTTTCCCTTTAGATTAGTGATTGTTGGGCCCTCAGATTCATTTTCCTTTCACAGGCTAAACAGCTTTAGGAACTGAAAGGTTCATGAGGCTGTAAGGAAGAGTCGAGTTGCTCCAGGTGAGCCTGGGCCACAACAGCACGCAGGACCTGGGCATCCACGAGGAGCTCCTGGGAGGGTTCGGGAAAGGGAGCCGTGAACCCTGACTATCTGAGATGGTTTCAGGTGATTTAGAAGGTTGATTTTGCCGAGGCTGAGGACATGCACCCATGACAGCCTCAGGAGATCCTGACGACAAGTGCCCAAGGTGGTCAGGGCACAGCTTGGTTTTAGGGAGACATGAGACGTCAGTCAATACATGTCAGAAGTACCTTGCTTCCATCCAGAAAGGTGGGGACAACTGGAAGCAGGGAGGGGGCTTCCAAGGTCACAGGTAGGTGAGAGACAAATGTTGCGTTGTTTTGAGTTTCTGGTTAGTCTCTCTAAAGGAGGCGATCGGATGTGCACCTATCTTAGTGAGGAGATAGATGATTTGGAATAGAATGGGAGGCAGGTTTGCGTTGAGCCGTTCCCAGCTTGGCTTTTCCCTTTAGCTTAGTAATTTTGGGGCCCCAAGATTTTCTATTCACAGAGCCTATGACTAGATTTGCATGTTTAGATCCTGCGAGGAGGCGGCTACACACATGCAGAAGTCATGCTGGTGGCCTGGACTCCGAAGGGAGAGAAGTGGATTTGAGAGACATTTAGGAGGTAGGATTGCCGGGGCCTTGGTGATAGCTTGGATGTGGAGGGCGGAGCAGGAGGGGTGTCAAGCAGATATTGCTCTTAGATTACCACCTGGGATATTAGGGAGAGTGAGTGGGCTGTTTTTTCTTTGTTAGGCAGAACTTGTTTTGTGGTGCAGTAGGGTGCCTCAAACCAAAGGCCTGACTTCCTCATACAGGCCAGACCCCACATGGCCGTTCCTGTGACTGCCAGGCCACTTTGAGGCTGAGAGATGGTTTTGTCTGGCCTCTGCCCTGCACGTGTTTACGAATGACTTCTCTGTGTTGGCAGATTTGGGGGTCCACCAGATAGGATCCTGTGAAGAGACCTCAAAGGTCTTTAGTCCAATTTATAAAACATCTTTTGTTCATTATATCATTTCCACAATCAAAGATGAATAAAATATACGGAGGTTTATTTAGTGAATAAGGTAGATGGTGCACCTGTGCTAGGCAGTGTTTTAGTTCGTTGAGACACCAAGGGTTGAGACAATCCTTTACCTTGGAGTTTTGTGTCTGTAAGTCCTGCTGTTGAGAGCTGTGTGTGTTAAAATGTCTGATTTGGGCAGGTGAGATCTGGGCCGTCTGTCAGATTAGGTGAGAGGAGGTTGGTGTCCAGCAAGTATCCAGTGCCCCATCAACATCCCAGTTCTTGTCCACCAATCTTCCAGTTGTAGGACTGATGCGGAGGCCCTCAGAGCGACTTCAGAGGGAAACAGTGTGCTCTGTGGCTGCCTGTTTTGGAGTGTAAATTGTAAATCCTCTGCAAACAAGAAGTTGGAAACAAGTAGCGTTTCAGCTTGAGTTTCTTGTAAATGGCTTGCAGTTTATGAACCAGAGCATGTATACCACAGGGCAACACGAGGGTCCCTCTATCACCATTTCTCCCAGTGGCCTAGGTGGGGATTTAAACAGAATAATGTGTGCAGCCTCATTGTGTGAAAGTCCAGTACTTTGTGCTTGGAGTGTCATCAGGGAAGGGCCCCTGACTTTGAAGGCTTCTGCGTCTGCTCTGTGATAGGAGGCACAACGTGGCCTTGGTCTTACGAAGACCTTGGGTGCCACAGCTCACTTCATCCCTGATCAGCCTGAGCAGGGCTGGGCCCTGGTTCTGGAGGTGAGAATACACCCTGGGCTTCCACTGCATGGCTGCCCTGTGAGCATTCAGGTGCTTATTTGGGACTGATATGGAGTCCTGTGCCAGATGCAGTGGTGCACACCTGGGAACCAAGGGTCCCTGCTTCTACTGGAGAATCTGGACAGATGTAAAGGTAAGAAGGCTGGGGTAGGGGTTAGGGTTAAGGTTAGGCTTGGGGCTGGGGTTGGGATTGTGGTTAGGGTTAGGGTTAGGGTTGGGGTTGTGTTTAGGGTTATGATTAGGGTTTAGTGTTAGGGGATTAGGGGTTTTAGCGTTAGCGTTTTAGGGTTATGGTTAGGGGTTAGGGTTGGGGTTATGGTAAGGTGTTAAAGGTTAGGGTTAAGGTTTAGGGTTAAGGGTTGGGGTTAA